ACAGCTTTGCCACAGCAATTGTACAAGTGTCAAGTAAGATTTATGCTGTAAGTTGTCGTCGGAACTAAGTCCAGGTTAGTCTAGCCACTTGACATGTATCAAAGCTCTAGGATATATTACTAGGCATCTTTCGTGTTGTCGTGTCTCAAACCATGCGCTCCAGGCCTGGATGCCTCTGCTTTGTTTTTTTTTGGAAAGGAAAAGGCATGCCCTGACATCCAAATAGTTGTGCTGGTAGACAGTCAACATGTAAATAAATGTGTTTTTCAGAAGATGAAGACTGCTATCCTTGGGATATTCTACAAAACACTCTTCATCTCAAAGACAACCTGTGAAGAGCTGAGAGAGTATCTGAATAATGCTGAAAAAGTCATCAAGCAAACTGAGAAGTATCTGGGACAACTCAGTGCATTAGCTTTGTATGTAATAGTTCACATTGTCCTCTCCTTGTTGCAGTTATTCACAACACAGTTTGCTTAGTTGAATGTGCCATCCCCATTCAATGTCAGATGTGCGGATTGCAAATGAGCACCATATAACCAGGCATATGTATGTCAATATCTGACCACAACAAGTATATAATCTCAGACATACTTCAGAAAACTGAACACAAGTTTTGCCTTTTTATATGCTTTGATGAGCATTTGGTTTTTATGTTTGACTGAATTGTTGGTAATGATGTTTGTTTAGTATCTTCACATATATACCAAGATGTTGCACTTGTTTCTCAGAAAATAGTTCTATTTTGCTTTTAGCTATGCTGAAATAGTAACTACCACAGGAATGTTTTGCAATTGTCAATTGCAATTTATGCTACAAGCATTATGCTGACAACAGATACTTTTCCAGGCCTGCTGTTGAGTCTTGTTCATTAAACAATATTCCTGGTTACCTGCCCAAGCTGCGTGGGTGTGTGGCAAGGAAGGTTACTGACAGTCTTGTACAATGGAAGGAAATCCGGTAGGTGTGTGCCAGGTCTGCCATCTGCACATGTGTGATATATGACTTATCACTTCCAAAGATGATGTTGATAAGCACTCATTGTGTGTAGTCTTGTAATATCTGTGGTATATAGTTATTTCAATGTGATAGGGCATACCAAAGCCATTTCAATAGTCATACAAAGCATGATTTGTATGTCCAACTTCATGCTGAGCCCTTTTACTAGATGCTTTATATTGCAAAGCCTTGGCTCAAATTCCAGCATGCAAAAATATTTTTGATATTTTGGCAGAATTCAGGCATAAGAATAACTGCCATAAGCAAAACATCAGAAAATCATGTGACACTGGAAATGCTTTTATCATGCTGTTATGTGTCTTCTTTGTTTTGCTATGTATTCTATTATTTTGTCATGTGTCTACTTGCTTGGCTTGAAATGTTGCTCTGTAGAATTAAGATTTTGGCCTGGTTCTAAAAATATCATTTGAAAAAATGTTTTGATAACCTAATTCATTCTAGTCCTGTACCAGACAAACATAAGTGGACTTCCTGGCCATGTTTTGCTGCCTGGTGGGCTGGCTGACACTGCTGCACACTACCGCACCTCAGGCATGCCATGTGCGGGCTGGCCAGCGAGGTGGTGAAGCTCTGCAGCGAGTCTGATGCAGCGCACCATGTGGTGGGCGCGGCCCTACCGCCCGACCCGGACCCATGCGCCCCGCGGCCCGGTGTCGTGTTGGAGACAATACACGACTGTCGCTGCTCCTTCGCCCAGCTGTGAGTGCTGAGGAGGTGTCACTGCCTAGGCTGTTGGCTGAATATCGTTAGGTATCATGAGATCGATATATATATATATATATATATATATATATATATATACACATATATATGTATGTATATAACTTGAACTATGAAATCTAAAGGGAGCATGTGCCGCAATTTTTGTTGCTGAATTTTTGTTACGTGTGTATTTGTCTGGCCATCTTCATTGACTGTGGAGTTCCGTGTTCAGGTACATTTTAGTATAGCAATCACCATCAATGTTTATAACAATTTCTAAAAACATAACTGCCATTTCTGGAATGTATACACAATCATAAATATATACTGACATATTTGCTTAGGTTGCACTTACTACAAGAAGAAGAAGAAGACGTTTCCCAGGCACCTGACGATGAAATTTCGAACATTCGCGAAGACCTACTGGAAATGAAAACTATTCTGGAGGTTATTGAGGGTATGAACTTTAATGACTGAGGTGTTTGGTTGGTAGATAGCTTTTACTTGCCATTGAGGAGCATTATTATAGAATGTGCAGTCAACATTGGCCCATCTCCTTGGGTCAGTTGTTGCCAAACTCGGACCACAAGTTCAATGATAACCAAGCTTGGCTACCAAAATGCATTTTTGTTACGTCGTTATCAAATTGTGCTGCTGCAGTTTTAGCCAATCAAGTTAATCTGTTCCATCTATTGGGAATTATGATGTGCAGGTACATAACGTCCTTTTTGTGTGTTCTTTTCCAGAGCGTCTCCAGCTGTGTGCGTATGTGACGTTGGCGTGGGAAGAGGAGACTTGTTCCGCCCGGTGATGGCTGTATCTACACCCCGATCTTGGCGCAAGCGGCCGTGGCTGAGGCTACGTACTTGTCTGTCGTCTCCGACTTTTCTGGTCGAGAAGCTGAAGAGCGATGGTACACCGGATCATGGCATTCTAGTCAATATACTGTTTTTTGTTTTGTTCATGGATAGTTTACGTTGCTTGCTACTGGCAGATTGTCAGGCTAACCTTCTCTTCCTAAACCCACTCCTTGTTTACGTCAAAGCGGGGAAGAACGTGATCCTCTCACCATGGCACAACCGAGCACCAATGATACGAATGCATCGCGACTTCGCGAATTGTCAGGAATCGTAACCGTGCGCACCGAATACCGTCCTGCCAGCGTACTGCGCGTGCTGTTTTATCCATACCTTGTCCTCCACGAACCGAATACCGCCCTTCCAGCATACTGCGCGTGCTGTTTTATCCATACCTTGTCCTCCGCGGACCGAATGCCGCCCTTCCAGCGTACTGCGCGTGCTGTTTTATCCGTACCTTGTCCTCCGCGGACCGAATACCGCCCTTCCAGCGTACTGCGCGTGCTGTTTTATCCATACCTTGTCCTCCGCGGACCGAATACCGCCCTTCCAGCGTACTGCGCGTGCTGTTTTATCCATACCTTGTCCTCCGCGGACCGAATGCCGCCCTTCCAGCGTACTGCGCGTGCTGTTTTATCCGTACCCTGTCCTCCGCGGACCGAATACCGCCCTTCCAGCGTACTGCGCGTGCTGTTTTATCCATACCTTGTCCTCCGCGGACCGAATACCGCCCTTCCAGCGTACTGCGCGTGCTGTTTTATCCATACCTTGTCCTCCGCGGACCGAATACCGCCCTTCCAGCGTACTGCGCGTGCTGTTTTATCCGTACCTTGTCCTCCGCGGACCGAATACCGCCCTTCCAGCGTACTGCGCGTGCTGTTTTATCCATACCCTGTCCTCCGCGGACCGAATACCGCCCTTCCAGCGTACTGCGCGTGCTGTTTTATCCATACCCTGTCCTCCGCGGACCGAATGCCGCCCTTCCAGTGTACTGCGCGTGCTATTTTATCCGTACCTTGTCCTCCGCGGACCGAATACCGCCCTTCCAGCGTACTGCGCGTGCTGTTTTATCCGTACCCTGTCCTCCACGGACCGTACGCTTCTCAGTTGTGCGGTCGGCCGTTGTTCCCAGTCCCGCTCCTGGCCACCCGTCCTTGCTCAACGAGCCGGCAGCGGCAGCGGCAGCGACCGCTCCGACGGCTCCGGCATCGCCGGCGACGGCGGGCACCCTCCGGCTTGAGGTGATCCGTACGCTTCCCACCCTTGGCCGGGTAGTCGTGTCGCCACCCAGCCACGGTCAGTCGGCCCATGGTGTATGTGCCGCTATGTGGCGATTGAGGAGTGGCTGGGCGTATGCCGGGAACGCCAGGTTGTGTGTCGGGTGGACTTATAGGTACAGTTCAGTTTTTCGTGGAACGTGGTGTGATGGCGCACCAACAATTCGACGGCCGGCCCGAAAACGCTAAAGAGTATTTCGCGGGAACAGACCTCAGCTTGGGATGAAAGAGGGGCGGTCCAGCCAGACCTGCCGGGGATGAGGGCCTGCCTCGAAGTTGGTGGCTTTGGCTTGATGCTTCATGGGGCTGTTAGCAAAAGTTCGGGGTAATAGTTGACGGCTTGCGCAAGTGACATGGGAGAAATCACGCATCATCATGGGTCACTAATCCAAGTGGGGCACCTCCCCGGACAGGGAGGTTTGTTTACCTCTGTTTCTCTTCCGGTATTTGCGTGACCCCCGCCGCGTTGTCCAGAACTTTTTCCTCTAGGTGTTCGCTGGATCTGTTTTTTCCTTTTTGGCTGGGAACGCAGGTTGATATGGTGTCCCAACACCAAGAGAACAGGCGCTGGCGCTTGCAGAGTTTCCCCAATGTCAAGTGTGAACGAATGCCTGAGAAAGTGATCGTGGTGAAGCTCAGTTGTTACGTCGCTTCTTTTCACGTGAACCGATGGGATGCATTTTCAGCATTCTCGGGGGCCCCAGCCTGATATTCACATACTCCATGCTGTAATTGAACGCTGGAAAGTGCCCAACTAGGTTGCCGAGACGATGGTAGCTGCTTTGCTGGGCCTTTATTAATGTATAGCACATCGCCCCCATGCAAGCTGTTTGGACTGACGCCCGCGGTTCGTCGCCGTCAATTGTTATGCGCCGTCCTTTCTTCCGTTACGCGAATTATTCGTGAGTCGAATTAGTCGGCACACTGATGCATGCTCTGGTGACAAGGCACGATGGCTGAAATTAGCAGCCTCGACCTGGTATCGCACCTGTTGATGGATCAGCGAAGCCAATCGGTGGCCTGCTGCACTGCGGCGGCTGTGGCGCTGAAAGCTGTTCGTTCCTGTTTCTCCGTCAGTTGTTTACGGATGGGCCCAGCCGCCCATGACGCTGGTGTTGGCGATTGTAGGTCAGTGAGGCTGAGCTTAAGCCTGCGGCTGTAGTTGTCTGGTGGTGGTGTGGTGCCGTTCGTGAATTTTACATTGTGGGCGCAATTGCAGTACTACGTGACTAACCTGTGGTATGCCATCTAAGCCTCGCGTCCGCAAACGGTACTTCTAACGCTCGTCTATGGGTGCGTAAGTTTTGTCCGATAGCTTAAGCAGTTTAAGTAGCGATGCAATGCCAGGGTAAGCCGTGCGTTGAATCTACATTGATGATTATAAACTGTCTCAGTTTTAGGCAGCCTGACAGTCTGTCAGGAAGTGGAGCAATGGGCGATGCGCTGGCCGGATTTGTGTTGTAGGTCATCAAGTAGCTTTGCAGCTGTTTGATTCTGCTCAGCCCCCTGGCTTACAAAGTTGTGTTATGTTCTCATTGGTTCACAGTTCAGTGCACTTCAGTGAACATTTACCTTTCATTAACCCCTCCCCTGACTTCTATTTCTGGAATAACCTTCAGACTATTCCATCCAGCAAGCAGGTCAGCCAAATGTTCATTAGTTGGCAGGTAATTAGCTTGACATATTTTAGGAAAGAATACTATAATGGTAGGTCTCATTCCATGGCCATGATATTGTCAATCAGAGTTACCATGCCCAAGTGGCTGACAGAGGTCATGCAAGATTAGTCCATTAAGATAAAGCCAAAGAGGTTTGTGCTGCTGATTCCAGGTAACTAAGGTGTATAGCTGATGGATTTCTAAAATAATAACTGATGTATGAGTGAAATTGAAAGGTCAGAAACTTGAAACACTGGTCTATTCAGATCTTAGCCTGATTTGACTCCCTTTTCCCAACCTGGAATTAGCCATTTAGCCTTAATTGATATTTCAACATGTTTTTGACTTGCAAAAACATGCTTTATGTGGTGATGGTTGGGAAGCTGCCAGACCATTGTTGCATGTGTTAAAGAGCACTGAGAATGCATAAGTTTTCTAATATTGCAGGTATTTGGCATGATGTTCATGTCACAAGTAGGTCTGTCATGGGTCTGCCCCCATAGTTGAGTCAGTTGAAATGTGTACCTCTGGGTGGGTTTGAGCTGCTACATAGCTTATTATTAGCCCCTGGCTGGGATGACCTGCAGCTGGTGGCACCAGTTGCTCAGTCAGATGACATTAGGCTGCTTGGTGGGCCATGATGAGCATAGCATTCACTACCATATCCTGCTGTTGAACCAGATTTTCATGGCCAGGGGTTGGGCTCAGGGTCTGAAGGACAAGCATAGCATGTGCTCTTATTCCAGAAGTCCTTGCAACCGAAATGTTTGGACTGTACCCTTCCCCAGGATCTAAAATGTTGAATGTTGTCATATCAGACAAATTCAAGGTGCAACTGACAGGCCTTGTCAGAAGCTACCTGTAGTCAACTTAAGGCAGCCTGACCAGACATTGCTTTTGTGCTCTTCTGCTGATGTGGTGTAAGAAAGTCATTGATGTGGAACTGTTTCCTCGTACTGACCAGTTTTTCACAGATGCAAGCAATACATCTTTTTTCAAGGGCTGTGGGCGTACATCATGTATCCCTTGATAGTGACATGTGTGACCTCACATGATGTGACTAGCACCAATTAGCAGCCAGTCAAACCAACCAATGAATCATGTCAAAGGAGCCCAAAATTGGAAATGAAACTGCAATTGGAGGCCAATATTCCCATGCAGCAATTCACCATTGAAGCAGTAGTTTTCTGATCCAACCTAACATAAGAATTTGCTTACTACCAGAATGTGTGAGGTTGATAGCCATTACAGGCATAGCTTCTACAATTGATGGTGAGACTTATCAGATACTGAATAGTTTGGGACCATGCCTGGCATGGTTCAAAAGTTATTTCTGTGGCTCAAAATGGGCTGCTTTCCACCTGCTCCATGCTATAATGTGTTAATAATTCCTGTGGGGTATGCAGAGGTTAATCACTGCCTCCTGCAGTTTTCACTGAAAAGAAATACCCTGGACCCCAAGTGCTCTCTCAATAATGCTGTATGATTGTGGCAACAGGACTGAGTGGTCTCTGGGGTACGGATCCACTGACTGTATGGCACCCCATTGGCCCCACAATTTCAGTGGGTTGGCTTTCTAAAATTATTGGTTCCCCAAGCACCAGTTTGGTATGTGACCCAGACCAGTGGTTAGCATCTCAGGCCATTCCCAGTTGTGAAATGTTGTGTACACCCCTACTTGGTATCATTTACATCACATGTTTTATTGAGCATTGTGTAATGATTAAGTCCTGACTTATGATGGGGCAGATGCCTGGGATCAGCATCCATGCTAAGGTGTGCTTATCATATGAGCCTGGACCAGGGGTAGCACCACATATTTTGAGTTTGAGGGGATTTGGGGCAAGGGGTGGGCAAAATGGGGCCTCCTCACAGGGGGCATCCTGGGTGGTGGCATGTTCAAGGGGAGGGGCACTGAGGGTATGTGCCATTTACATTTGTTTTTGAAAATCCTGAATGGGGCTGTTTGAATACCTAGTGCAGCATCTCACCTAAAACAAGGTCTCTGACTTCTGAAAAGGGCCTCCTGATGCATAGAGGGACCTGCTAGTCCAGAACAGGATGTTCTGATTTGCATATTGGCTTCAAAATCTAGCCAAGGGGCCTTGTTATCCCAAAACAGGGTATTCTGAGCCAATACTCTGCCCATCTGATGCAAGAAAGGGACCTGCTGTTCCAGAAATGTGGTTTCCTGAACATAGAGGGTGGTTCCTAACTCAGTGTGGGGCCTCCTAATTTGTAGCAAGGTCCTCCCAAGCCAGCAAAGGGGCCTCCTAAACACATCATTGTGTCTGCTAATCTAGAGCATGGGTCACCTTTTCATAAAAGTGGCCTCATACAGAAAACAGGCCTATCGATTTTGAAAATGGCCTTTTGAGCCAAATTTATTGCTCCAACTCAGTTATGGGACCCTGCATGATTTTAATTTTTTTAATCTGTGGGTAGTTACAATGCCTTTAATTTAGTAAAAAGTGGCCTTTCCTTTTTTTGGGGGGGGAGCAAAAACATACTCTTGTTCCACCTTGCCTGCTGGCAGGATGGGCAGTTGCCCCCTCTGCTCCCCCCCCCCCCCCCCCCCCACACACACACTGCATCAGCTCTGGCCCTGATACCACCATCTGATCATGAATTTCTGGGTGAGTGGCAGAATTTTGGCAGTGAAAGCTCAACTTGCTGTGGTGCCATGCATGGGTTGTCTTGCCCTCAGACATCACATGACATTTGGTGTAGCCACTGCCACCAACTGCAGGCTGTTTCTGTCAGGGGCTTATTGTGAGTGCCTAAAACAGTATGAGCCCACCCCTTCATAAATGGGTGAATCAGGAGGTGGGTGCCATAACAAACTGAGTTTTCAGGATAGATCACAAAGCATAGACACATTGGTGCATTGGGGGTATGCTGTGCCAATACTGTGGGCTGCCATACTTCTCCCGAAGACAAGACTGCCAAAAATCCTGTCATTAGCCACCCAATTGTAGTCAACTTTGCAGTGGGATGTAAACTGCACAGCTTGTCTGCCCTTGCCCTGCATATGGCTGACTCAGCCTGGTCCACAGGTGCCCATGGACAGAGACTTGGTAGTCACTGTCTTGTTCGACTTTGAGTACCATGGCAGTGATGGAGAACGTGTGTACATGTGCAAGGATGAGGAGTTCCTGGTCATCCAACAGACCAACAGTGACTGGTGGCAGGTAAGAGGCAGCACAGTATCTCATGGTAACTGCCTTGTAGTCTGTTGGTCTCCCTTGTAGAGTGAAATGTAGAAGTCAAGTAAGTAAAATGGATGGTCTTTATCTGCTATAGCAAAGGAGTCATGTCCTATGGCTTCCCACAGTAGCTCTGTTGCAGTTGTGTTCTAATTTGTTGATTGATGTTTGCTTATGGTATGTCGTCAATGTGATATGGTGCTGTTGTGGCTCACTGGGTACATATTGCTTCTCTCCCATGTTGGATGTGAATGTACCTGCTGTCACCATGACTAAGACCTGGGCACGTCAAAAGTCTGTGAGCGATGTAGAATCATTAACGAACACTGCACACGACTTGTGCGGCTTGTCTGCGATCGTCGTGGGCAAACGAGTCGCCTGGCGCAGGCCAGAGACGCGATGTCGCGCGGTGCGCGGCGACCGATCTGGCCGCGCTGGGACGTGTCCCGCGGTGGGAGGACCCATCAGCTCCCGTGGGAGTGCTCAGCGGCTGCGGGAGAGCCGCTGCAGCCCCGGGCTGTGGGCGCGCGCCCGCCCGCCGCAGGCACTCGCCGTCGCTCAGCGGCGACCGTGGCCGGTCCGCAGGTGATCCGGAGCGGAGAGCGCAAGCCGTTCTACGCGCCGACCCAGTACCTGCGCCTGCAGCCGCATGCCCGGCCGCAGCTGCCGCCCAAGGTCAAGCGGAACGCGCGCGACAGCAGACGGTACGCGGCAGGGATGGGACGGGACGGAACGGCGCCCGGCCCGCACTCGGGGTGGAGCGGGGCACCATGATAGTGCCCTCGTCCACAGTGAATTTCGGGGTGTTGTGGAGAAATGATGTATATATATATATATATATATATATATATATATATATATATACCAGAGATGAGAAGCTCGAATTGGAAGTCTCAGACAGTACCGACGGTGTGGAACACTAAGCATTTCATTTACATATGTTTTGACCATCTCATATCTATTATAGGATATGTTATTGTGATTATGTCATGGAGATGTTCTTATGAGACGATATTGCATGCTTGAGCATTATGTTACTGAGCATAACACTGAAAAGCAGAGTGGAGATCGTAGCTCGAGCTCATTTTAGTAGAGCACCAGATGCATAGGTGTTTGCATGCAACCCTCGGTGGTGGCCTCAATACTGTCGACCTTTTATAGTTCGCAAGGATAGTACCTGATGGTAAGTCATTTATAGTCCTGCGGGGCGAGGTTTTACGATGCTGATTTGTTCTTTGTCCCAGAAAAGCAAACCAGAAATATGGCAGTTAACTTAGCACATAGCATGCACAGCCCTGGATTGTCTCACAAGGGCTGGTTTTGTTTTGTTTTGTCGTTTTGCTGTTCCAACGGAAAGTGCTGCCTGCTATCGTCCCCTTGCAAATAAGATGCCTTGCACCGCGCTGTCTTTCATGTCACGTCACTGACACTTCCCAACGTCGGTTTCTTCCGACTTTTACGGGCGCGAGAGTTTTCCGTCACAACATTAACTCCGATCATCATCGAAGTCATCTTGGTCATCGCTCCAACTTGTCTCGGCCCCGCCTCCTGCTGCGGAGCACCAGCCACAGGCCGTGCTTTCCCGTGACTTCCCTGGGCCCATACCGCCCTGTCGCGCGCGCTGGGCCGCCTGGTGACGCGCCGGCGGTGCCGCAGGGCGCCGCTCTCCATCCTAGACGCCGAGCGACATATCGGTGGCGACGATGGCGCCGACGACGACGACAACGACGAGGGCGGCCGGCGCCGCTGCAACTCGCTGGAGGACGCGGCCGCCGGCTCCTCGAGCGTCGAGACGCTGGACGATTCGCCGCCGGGGCAGCCGGCGCGCGAGCCGGTGGCGCGCCCGCCCGCCGCCGCCGGCATCGGCGGCCACGCATCACCAAGGACCTGTGGGCGCGCCGCAAGTCGTGGTCGGTGGACGAGCGCAGTCGCACATGGGAGCTGGTGCGGCCGGAGGCGGCGCCGGCGCCGGCCGCCAGCACCAGCAGTCTGGACGGCCGTCACCCGCGGCGCCGACGCCTGGCCCCGGCAGCCGCCACGGCCCGCCGAGCGGACCGAGCCGCTGGCCGAGGGCGAGGCGTCGATGGCGCGCCACCCAGCCGAGCGAGCCGAGACGCCGCCGCCGGAGGACGGCGACGGTACGGACACGAGGCTGCGGCGCCCGGCCGAGCGGCCCCGGGCGGCGCCGCCGACCGAGGACGGCCGACTTGCGTCTGGTTCGCGGCCTCCGCAGCCGCACGCGCGGGGACCCGACCCGCGACCTGCGCCGGGCGGCGCCAGGAGCGCGCGGCCCGTGGTCGGTCAGAGACCGGCGCCGGTGGCGGCGGGGTCCTCCCTCGTCTCCACCACCGCTCTGACGTCGGCCGCCGTGGAGCTCCCCCGTCCGGCGGTAACGGAGGAGGCGCCCTCGCGGACGACTGACGGCGGCGAGACGTCCCGGGCTTCGGAGGTGCCTGCTGCCGGTCCCGGCCCCGGTGAGGGTAGACGCTTTCGGCAAGAGGTGATCAAACTGATGGGCCGCGTACGGCGCGAGGAGCGCCGCTCGCTGGAGAAGCGCTCGGCGCGGCCGGAGGCTGTGGACAGAGGCTCTCCGCGCGAGGGCCGGGAGGCGTCCGCCCTGCCGGCGCCGGTTGTGAAGGGCGGCGCCGCGGAGGTAAGGCTGACGGACGCGCCGCCGCAAGCCGCCGAGGGTCGGCGAAGGAGCGCAGACAGCGCCGGCGGCGGCGGCGAGCGCCAGGTGGCGCCGGCTGCCGACGCGCCGGACGCGGAGGACGAGGCGGCGGCGGAGCGGGCCGAGCCGGGGCCGCGGCCGGACCTGCTGCCCTCGCCCGACGAGCAGGACGGCCGGCCCGGCTTCCAGCGGCAGACCTCGTACGACCGCAGCCTGCAGTCGTTCAGCACCTTCTCCAACCTGCGTCCGGCGCGCGTCGACCTGGCCGGCCACAACGCCAGCTTCAAGCGGACGGCCGAGCGGCTGGCGCGGCCGGCCGAGCCGCCTCGCCGGCCGCCGATCGCCAAGCCGTCGGCGGCCGGGCGCCAGGTGGAGCCACCGCGCGTGGCTGGCCCGCCGCGACCGCCCGTGCCGCCCAAGCAGCTGCGCCTGCGCCCGGCCGCCGACGCTGGCTGCTCGTCGGCGCCCGTCACACCTGACGACGCCGAGCCCTGGTCCGACTCAGAGCCGGCCGACAGCGAGGCGGGCGGCTCCTGCGAGCAGCTGGACCACGTGCGCGCCGCGCTCTACTTCGCCAACCCGCTGCGGCCGCGCTCGGGGCTCAGCCGCTCGGCCGATCACCTGCCCGTGCCGCGCCCCCGCACGCGGCTGTCGGAGGTGGGTGACGCGCCGCCGCAGGCTGGATGCAGCGGGCGACGCTGGGTCAGGTGGCGTCTGCTAGGGGCCAGTCATCTGGGTTGGCGACCTGGGGTATGGGCTTGCTGGCTTCCGCCAGTGTCGACCTCGCCCATGTTAGCCGACACCGGTGTTTGCCGGGGCATAGTCTTGTTATTGAAGCTAAATCACTGTCGATTTGTTAATTACATTTTGTCACCAACTAAGCTAAGAACCTTAAACGTGTCCACTGTACTTGGCTACCTTACGACTTTCCATGAAGTTGCCACGTAATCCCGACTACCCGAGGTTGCAGCTTGCTTAACCCCAAACTTGTCAGGTGCGTCATGTCCAAGGCTATAAGATAGCTATCGTATTTTGACATTTGTTGGTTCTTGCGATGGGAAGTGGTTTTGCTCATTTCCACCGCCTCAGATTGTTGTACATGGCTCGGTGCCGAGTGCGGCGCCCTGGCCGCTGAGATGGGAGTCTGTCCTATCCCTACCGCCCCAGATTGTTGTACATGGCTCGGTGCCGAGTGCGACGCCCTGGCCGCTGAGGTGGGAGTCTGTCCTATCCCTACCGCCCCAGATCGTTGTACATGGCTCCGTGCCGAGTGCGGCGCCCCGGCCGCTGAGGTGGGAGTCTGTCGCTGAGGCCCAGGGGCCGGCTGACTGAGCCTGCCCGGCGCCCCGGCCGCTGAGGCTCAGGGGCCGGCTGACTGAGCCTGCCCGGCGCCCCGGCCGCTGAGGCTCAGGGGCCGGCTGACTGAGCCTGCCCGGCGCCGCCAGGTGTCGTCGACTCAGATGAAGGAGGCGCCGCCGGTGCCGCACATCCTAGACACGCCGCAGCGCTGCCTCTGGGACGGCTGGGGCGAGTACGTGCACCGCGGCAGGAAGTACTACTACAACGTGGACACGCAGAACAGCACGTGGAAGCCGCCGCGACGCAACGTCAAGTCGGTCAGTGGTGCCCGGCTGGGGCCGGTCCGTCCGTCCACCCGGGAATCCGTGTCCGTGTCCGTCCGTGACGGATGCGCCGATCCGTCATGGGAAGGACCTCGGGCTCCCATACTGGGCAGGGTTGAGGCGGCGGTCGGAGCCGCGCGAGCCGTTGGGATGTGAGGTCCACGGCCCCACGGGCTCAAGTGAGCGTGTTCGTCGAGTCGTCAGCTTTTCGCATGGGATGTCTTGCTGTGGCAATCAGTGCTTGGACGGCGAGTTTGCTGTTCCAGAACAACCAACACGTATCTGAGAGTAAGCCACTTGCTCCTGTCGTTTTTTTGAGGTTCTTAGTTCAGTTGGTGACAAAAGCCACTGCCCTGATTTACGCATAAAATTCCATGTGCTCTCGCAAAATGGCTCTCAGTGCTAGCCCAGTGTATTGGTCCTCGCCCCACCTCAGCATCGCTCTCAGTGTCTTCGCTGCCGGCACTGCGACCGACTCCGGCCGCTCCCGTCCCGGCTGCGCCCCTCCTGACCGCCTCCACCGCCGTCCCTCCCCAGACGAGCGTGAGCCCGGAGAAGTATGGCGAGCGGGAGGAGCCGGCGACGCCCGTGTTGGAGGTGGACGTGCCGCTGGTGCCGCTGCCGTCCGGCTGGCGGCGCCGCGTCGACTCCAGCGGCGAGCTCTGCTACGTGCGCGACACGTCACCCACCCGGGTAAGGCCCAGTGTCACGGCCCCCACTGCCCACCAGTGGTGACCACGCCCCCCCCCCTCCCTACTTGGATAAGACCCGGTGTCGTGGCCCCCATTGCCCACCAGTGGTGACCACGCCCCCCCCCCCCCCCTCCCTACCTGGGTAAGACTGCAAAGTACACGTCTGCCTAGCCAGGTGAGAGTGGACCGACTGTTATAAAGGCGGGTTAGGGTGGACTCGCATGCCTTTGCTCGGGTGAGGCCGTCTCCACGCCCCCTGCCGGAGCAAGGAACAAGGGGTGTCCCGCACATCCCTCTACCCGGGTAGGGGGAGGGGCGATGTCCCACCTGGGCAAGGGTGGGTCACACCTCTCTGCCATCAGGCTTGGGATCTGTCCGGGAGGTTCGGCCTTGTCTTCAGTTTCCATACAGGCTTATGCGTAAGGGTCAACAGGCCACTGAAGGCTAGCTGCTGCTGGCCGGCCAGCTGCTGACCTGGGACAGGGACCGGGCGGCCGCGTCTGGTGACGCTCTCCTGCGCAGCATACAGCCAGGCCTCCTCCCGCCGCCGGCTGGAGAGGCGCCCGGCATTGGGAGGGCAGTGCTTCGGTGTCACATCGGAACGGGGTGGCTGCCAATGGAATGTGGCATGTAAAACGGGTTTGGCCTTGCATGCCTCAGCTCGCATTTTTGTGGGGGGGGGGGGGATGGGGGGAGGGTCCTGTCCGTTTCATGCCCTTGGTATGGACCGCTTTTAAGCTTTGCATTAGTGACCATCCGAGGATTCATACATAACCAGAATCGGACGTTACGTTGGGACGTCTCTTCTGAAGCCTGTCACGAGACCACGGCTTTTGCGCCGAGGTCATCTCAGTGCGTTCTATCAGTTAAAGGGTGGCACGGCGCTCACATGAGCGTGTTGTGGAACAGGACATTTGCATTAACCCGGAAGCGATGTCACCACTGGATAGACTGGTTGGGTGCTAGTATGAGACAGCCCCTAGTCCACCTGGGCCTCAACTTTGAATGCACGGCCGATTCGAAGCGTGGTCGCGCTGACTGCATGGTGTGATTGCGTGCGTCCTCTCGGTGTATTCGAATTGAGCGGAGTAGCGTGACTCTTCTTCGAAGAAGGGCGATAAAGCAATGATATTAGGATATCAAACTTGTTGCTGCTCTCCGCCCCCCCCCCCCCCCCTCCCCTACCAGAAAGTACAAACAATAACGGAAGTCAACGGGCCGCGAGGCTCACAGTGATGAGAGAGCTGAGTAGTGGCGGTTGTCGGCTAAAATTTCGCCGGGTGCTGTCTCTTCAAAGCGTGGGCCACATTGCTCGCGTAACTGGCCTGTGTGGAAAGGATTTTAGGCGCATGTCTCTGATCCTTTCACATTCGAATCAACCTCCTCAAGCCAATGTTAACTAGGTAAGCGTCGCTCCGTTACAAACACTACATGGTCAGGTAAAGGTAAGCACCTAGGTAAAGTCAGATCTAGCCATAAGTAGTGTCAGGGTGGGCTTCGAAGCGTCCTTGAATAGGCTGTAAGCTTTTGCCCAGCTTCAGAACATTTTTTGTTACAGAAAGTATACACGAAAACACATATACACGGTACGCTATTTACTGCGTGTTCACATTAGAATGAAATACAATAATCCGTAAAATTCACCGCATTTCAGTAGACACGCCCTCTTCAGGTGAGTTAAAGCTTTGACAAATTTCAAACTGAACTCACCTGCACAGGGTATTTGTGCCAAAATCTAGTGAATTTTGGAGCTCACAGCATTGCATTCGAATTTGGAACTCAACAGTGGACCGTGTGGCATTAATTAAAGTCCACAGTGTCGGAGAGGGTCTGATATCGACAAGTCACTGTATGTCGGACGTACGTCTATTGCTACCATTATGCATGAAGAAGCGGCGGAAGAGGAGACAGGAGACCGCTGCAGCAAAAACAACACGTCCTCGAAGAATGAGATCATCTCAGAAGTGAGCTCACCGTCTCGATTTCCTCCTTGGAACAACCAGATCCAACCCGCGTCGCCAGCCTGCGGCGATCCACTCGCCGTCCGCTCGGCCGAGCTCCGGCTGGAAGTGGACGGCTCTCGCCGGCAGCCGTCGACGTCGCGCCATCTGCGCCGACCGCCGCGACGCCCTGCGGCCGGCCGACCTCGAGGCGCCGGACGCCCCGCTGACCGCACGCTTCCCGGACGCGCGCGATAGCCGGCGGGGCAACGGCGGCGCCCGCCGGCGGATTACTGAGGCCCCGGGCCGCGCTCAGTCCGCCGCCGCCGTCAACGGCCGCCTGGCGTCGCCGCTGGCGGAAGTACGGCGTGCCGGCGGCAGCGCGGTCGCCTCCTGACGCCCGCTCACAGCCCGGCCGGCCACCATGTGCGACGATGACGTCATGCTGCGCTCGGCGGCGCGCCGGCACCTGGCCGCGCGCCGCTCCTCGTCCGAGACCAGGCTGGCCTGCTTGTCAGAGTTCGGACTGCGACAGGTGAGTGGAAGCGGCGGCCGCCGGCGGCGCCTTCGTCGCCGCGCCGCACACTCGCTATCGCCGGCTTCCTGTGGTTGTCGCCGGCTAGCGGCGGCGAGTGCAGTGCGAGCGCGATGGCGGAGGTGCGCGGTGAGACGGCGGCGGTCGAGAGGCGGCAGCGGCGGCGCCGCGCCAGCGATCAAATGGCGCACATCGTCAACCTCTCGCTGATGACGATCCGGGCGGACGACGGCCGGCCGGCCAGTCCAGTTAGGAGCCGGTCCGAGTGGGACGTGGACGGCGGCGTTTGGCGCGAGCCAGACGAAGTTTGGGGCGAAGATGAGGTTCTTCTGCGTGGCCACGCGCGGACGCCGGAGCGACTCGGCGAGCCAGAGCACATGCGCAGGCGGCGCACTGGACTAGAGAAGCTGCCCAAGCGACACAGTGGAGAGGAGGAGGTTTTGGGGCGCCGTAGAAGGTCGGACGAAACGCTCAGGCGTCACAGCGGGGCAGAGGCGATTCTGAAGCGGTACAGCGGGATGGAGGAGGCTTTGAAGCGACACAGCGGGGCGGAGCAGCCCTTTAAGCGGCACAGTGGAGCGGAGGTTCATCTGAAGCGGTACAGCGACGCCGAGGCTCCCGTGCAGCGGCACGGCGCGGCGGACGAGCCGGCGAGCCCTCGAAGCGGCACAGAGGCGCCGCTTAAGCGCCGCAGCCGGACGGCGCGGCTGTCGCACGGCTTCAGCTCGTCCAGCGACGACTCTTTCCACACTGCGCTGCACTCGCCCACCGACGAGGCACCGGCCAAGGTGGCTCGCGTCTCGCTGCCGCCCGGCGAGGCGTCGCCGTCCGAGGAGGCGCCGTCGCCAGACGTGGCCGCGCCGCAGCCCGAGGCGCCGGTACAGACGCCTCTGCCGCCGCCGTCGGCGCCGGAGGAGGGCGGCCGAGAGAGAAGCGCCAGCGACGCGGCGGCGCTGCAGGCCGTCTCGGTCCGCCAGCGGATCGGCCAGATTGAGCAGGGCTTGGCCAGCGCGCGCCGCGGCCGGCCCGCCGCCGGGCTGACACGACAGACGGCCCGGGTAGGTGGCCCGCCGCCGAGGCCCCGGCGCGGGTGGCGGCGGGTGTCATCGCGAGGTGGGCCCTGCTTCACAGCAATAGCGGCGCGGTGTTGACCAGGGCGACAGCGGTATGCTAGGACCCGTGGAAGGGGCTCGAATGCTACTGTGCGGAATGGTTCCGACATGCATGCTTTTTCTGTAAGCGTGGCAGGTTTAGAATGCAAATGGTGCCCATCTTTCATGTCATCATTCTGTTTGTCTTTCTCTTTGTTTCGTGTTGTTTTTTGTCATGCTGTTGCAACTGATCTCATTTCAGGAGCGTGTACATTGTAATACGTTACAGTTACCAACACATTCTCTAAGAGAAAGTCCTGGAGAGCTCTAGTACTTCAGGCTCTAAAGCCAACACGTGAGCACTTTTCTTGGTCTCCCTGTCCCCGTTCGTTTGGAGTTGCTGGCCGTCGTGACCGAGTCCGTGCTCTCCTCTGTTCCGCAGTGGTACAGCAATCAGAACGAGGACGGGCATGTGTATTTTTTCGAGGAGGGCGGTACGTCCTCTTACTGGGCCCTGCCGTCTGTCGACGATGGAACTAGTCAGAATGCCAAAGACAAGGTCAGTAGTAGTCTTGGGTTCGCTGTTGTGGGCCGGTTTAGTTGCCCTCGCATCTGATATCCCCCATGTCTGCTCGCATTTCACAAACTGCCTTGCAGCTCGTGGCATTTCCCCGCTGCGAACGGCTGCTGGCTGGTGTGTCCCCGTTTCCGAAGTCGGCCTGGTCCCTCTTCTGGCGTGTAATGTGTCGGGCCAGTGCGCCGCGTCGCCTGCCCGTGTGCCTGCCGCGCCCGCCAGATGACGCCCCTGGCGTCCTGTCGGCCCGTAACCGGCTCCGAGTGCCCCGTCCGTCCGTCCGGGCGGCGGCGGCGCCCCTCTGACGTGCGGCCCTCTGCCCGCCGGATGGCTCCCCGGTGTCCGCCTGTTGGCCCGTGGCCCGCTCCCAGCGCTGCAGCCGTCCGGGCGGCGGCGGTGCCCCTCTGACGTGCGGCCCTTTGCCCGCCGGATGGCTCCCCGGTGTCCGCCTGTCGGCCCGTGGCCCGCTCCCAGCGCCGCAGCCGTCCAGGCGGTGGCGGCGCCCCTCTGACGTGCGGCCCTCTGCCCGGTAGGAGGCGACGGCGCGGCTGGGCGGGCCGGCGCCGCCGCCGCTGCCCATCCCGCCGTACGTGCGCCAGGCGGGCCGCAGCCAGCGGGGCCGCTCGCTGCTGGTGCCGCCGGCGCCCGGCGCCGGCCGACCCCGCGTGTTCGCCGGCGATCAGACGCACACCATCCTGCATCAGGTGAGCGCTGCTGGGCCTCCCACGCCTGGTCAGAGCGGCCGCGGGAGCACCAGCTCGACGGCGCGGCGAGCTCGGATGCTGGTCGCTGCAGGTGGGGCGACTCTGTGTCAGATCCTCCTGCAGCGAGCTCCTCGGTCGGTGTCTACCCGGCAGATGAAGGCAACCGGGGACGGCTTGCCATGCCGCCTGCCCAGGGCCGTGTCAAAGTAAGCTCCTGGCGCACCACCCTCGCTGTACTTTTAATTCGCTCCTTCACCGTATTACACCAGGAGCTGCTAGAGTCCTAATGTAGGCATCGCACTCGGTGGGTGAGAGCGGCGCCTGCGACAGAACTAGAGTTATGTTGTAACGCACTAGCTGCTTCGATAAGCACGTCATGCGCGACGACAATTAGGCTTCAGTCTGGCGGCGTTATGTGGAGACGACAGAGCATTTGAACAGTCATGACGCATGGTGTCTGGTGCCAGTCACCTTGGAATACAAGACACGGTAGCTGGTGTTTTTAGGCTTTCTTTGTGTTTTTATGAGCCATTGTACTTTGGTAATAGTTGGCATATTGATGATCAGCTCTAACGCATTGATACACCTCTTTTCACCGAATATTGTTGGTATTCTACTTATTTACGAATGTTGCCAGTTGTTAAGAGTTCATGAACTCTGGCTGTGACGGTTATTTTGCACCCATTGTGTAAAGCAATCTTCTAGATGATAAAACCCCAGTGCGCGGTTTTCTTTTTTCTCCTCTCCTTTCTCTTTCACCTCTTTCCCCGTGTCTGGAACGGAGTTGGCGTAGACATATATGACAGAAACGGCTGGTTGTGCAACATTCGTGTCCTACTGGGAAGTCTCTTTAGGGGACATGGAAAAAAAGGACGCAGAAGATCAGACTGATTGGCGACTGAATCAGCCAGCGCATCGCACCTGCATTATGACGTCCTCTCAGGCCATCTAGTGGACTGTTTAGTGGCCGACCGTCGAGCCTTTTTACGTCGGATGTCATGTCATCGACTTCTGGCCCAGTTCTCTCAGATCTGCGTGGTGAACACGTTAAAATTGGACTCGCCTCGGCGCATTCTAGGCTCGGCTGGGCCCAAACCTGGTTCATGGGTGTTGAAGACGTTATGGGATGTACAGACGGCACGAGACGTTATCGCAAACATTACCGATGCTCCTGGCCTTTTCTAGGGTCGTTCAAATTTCGAAGTCAAGCTTACCTACCAGATATGGAAAAAGTTACGTCAGATTGGCCTGTAGACCCGTCCTATCTTGGCCCATAGTTTGATGTCAGTGGCAATTATTTGGTCATTGGAGGTCAAGGTCACGCGAGGTCAGGTCGTATGGGTGTTGTATGACTGCGCAGTCGAAATGCCCGAAAAGTCGACGACTAGGTAAGTAACAGGTTGGGTCAGATGAACAGCGTCGTGCGGTAGTAGATATGTCATGTTGTCATGTTGTCATAGGTATATGTCCTCGCGCATGAAGATCGTAAGCGTAGCGTTATTTAAGGTCAAGGTCATGGAAGGTCACACAATAACCTCAGGTGATCTCACCTGGCACCTTAGAAGTGAAAAGTCGCACACTTTGACTGGCATCGACTCCACATCTTGAACATTTCCTAAGTTACCTATAGTCGGCGAAAACGTGATTTGAGCAAGCTTGACGCCTTTTGGCGGGTACAACGCGACAGTATCCAATGGAGTTTACAAGTCACGCACTGGGCTACTTGCACCCTTTTTTGTTCTGGCCCATTGGGTATGGAATCATAGGATACCACCGCAGCATTTCTGCAGGTGACAAAACTGATGAGGTCGATGGGATTGAAGAGCCGTTTTGCCAATCGGTATTATGCTGAATTGTTTTTTTTTACGGAAGTTCCCAAGAATTTGAGACATTCCCCCAAAGACCGCCACCTGCGACCTGAGTGGTTGTCAGGGGGTTGACGTGTTCCATTGATTGAGTTAATATATCGGCGGATGGACGATGCCTGCCGGCGCCGGCTTCAGACAGTTGGCCGCCATTGTTGGTAATGACAGTGGAACCTCAGCGGGCTGGTCAGATTGCCCCCGTGTCTGCCGCCTCCGGTGTTCGTTGAGCGTATATGTTTCGGCTAATCAACACTCACTGCTCGTACTTCAGCACCAAATGCGGTGTGCATTGAGAGCAGGCGTTTTTAGTTCTGTCGGAATCAACTCTGCAACCTGTTGAGTCGGAAGCGGCGCTGCGGTTAACAAACATTTTGTTGACCGCAGCGCCGCGTGTTGACTGGAACAGATTCTTGTTAATATTTGTTGTTTGTTGAGGCCTTAGTTCAGTAAACCCAATCATCAGTGAATAGTTCAGTGAGCCCAGTCAGCCGTCATCATCGACAGAAAGTTACTAGCAAGTATATGCAACGATAGCCAGTCATCCGGCAATTTCTGGGCGGACCAATTGGAACGCAATTACGTAGCCGCCTGGTCACCAGAAGCGACTAATGTGTGCAGCTTTATGAAGACCAAATAAGGTCCCAGAATGCTTTCACTGCGATCGGTTCGTGGTCGGGGACGGAGGGCGCTGCGTGCCTTGCATCCGCCGGAACATCATGACGCTGCTGGCCGGACGGGTCCCGTATCCGTCCCGGGCCCGGTGTGTCGGCCCCAGTGACTCACTCCTGACCCGCGGCTGTGATGTCACCCCGGAGTGCCGTGGCCCTCCGACGCTGGTTCGCACTCTGAGCGCCGTCGCCAGTGTCGCGGGACCCGGCACCGACGTGTGACCGGCCGGGGACCCACCGCTGGGTGACCGACAGTGGATCGGGGCCGCTGGGTGACCGACAGTGGACCGGGGCCGCCGAGTGACCGACAGTGCACCGGGGCCGCTGGGTGATCGAGGGTGGACCGGGGCCGCTGGGTGACGTGCAGTGGACCGGGGCCGCGGGGTGACCGACAGTGGACCGGGGCCGCCGAGTGACCGAGAGTGGACCGGGGCCGCTGGGTGACCGACAGTGGACCGGGGCCGCTGGGTGACGTACAGTGGACCGGGGCCGCTGGGTGACCGAGAGTGGACCGGGGCCGGCGCGTGATTGACAGTGCACCGGGGATCGCTGAGTGACCTACAGTGAACCGCTGTGCGGGGTCTCCGGCCGGAGCGGTCTGAGCGGCCGCCGTCGCCGGCCGGTCAGCTGGTACTCTGCACCGGTCGAGGCGGAGATGCCGGCCGCTGGCCCGGGGCTGTGGTCCGTCTGGTGTGAGGCGTGTGTTGCCGTGATGACCGGCGGCGCCCGCCTGCGGCCAGGTGTCATAGCCATCGCCATGGTCAGTGTAGTGTGCAACGGGCACTCTTCCTCCAGTGAAGCGTGGAGCGAGCTCTCTTGTTCGTGTTTAGCGTGGAGCGGGCACTTATGTTCCAGTACTGTGTGTAGCGGGCACCGTTATCCCTGCAACATGGTCTCTGCCGAACATCCGGATTGGAAATCGTTCCGGTGTTGCGCAGAGGCGTTATTGGTATGCGCAACCGACGTGAGATATTCGATACACCCCTTCACAAAGTATCGAGTATGGGTCAAAAAAATTGTGTTGGTCGGAATGGCAGGTGGAGTAAAACTACGAATGCGATTCCACTTCCATCTGTGATCATTCTTATTCCGAAGTCATACTATTCTTGAGCGGAGTAATATGATTCTTGTCACACCGTTGCTGAGAACAACAGGGCTGAGGCCATTATTTGGTTGTGTTGTGTTTGGATTGACTTGTGTTTTTAAGTGTGGTTTAGCCTGCGCCAGCGACTCTGATAGCCGAAGACACGATAGGCACGCCTGGACTGCTAACTCAGGATATAGTTGCATGCCGTTTTATCAGGTCATTTGGTCTCTTGGTGTCTTGGTGTAGGTCAGAACCTGAGGGGACATTTTCTCGCCATCTGATGCTAAGACACGGCTGCTTCGTGCCAGGTTGGCTCTCTGGCTGTTGCCAGCTGAGGCATATAAAATGATCAGCCGCGACAGTTCCTGTTTGTTCGGCTCGGGTACCCTTGGACTAAGTCCGCGATATTCCCTGGGTACAGAGTCGGGTTGAATGCCCTTTGGATGACGTACCCCTCATGTCTGAACGCAAGGAACCAGACTGTGCAGTGCCTTGAAGAAATACAAAAATGAGCGAGATGTGCAAATAATCACTGCCCCCTCGAAAAGCCTAACTTTGTCAGTTTGTCCCTCGATAGGCTTGACTTTGTCAGTTGGTCCCACGAAAGGCCCGACTTTGCCACTTTGTCCCCTCGGGAGGCCTGACCTTGTCACATTGTCACCTCGAAGGCCTGACTTTGTCACTGTTCCCACAAAAGGCCTGACCTTGTCACTTCATTATCTCGAAAGGCCTGACTTTGTCATTTTGTCACCTTGAAATGCTTGACCTTGTCACTTCGTTGCCTCGAAATGCCTGGCTTTGTCATTTTGTCATCTCGAAATGCTTGTCCTTGTCACTTTGTCACCTCCAAATGTCTGACTTTGTCACTTTGTCCCCTCGAAAGACCTAACTTTGCCACTTTTCCCTTCGAAAGGCCTGACTTTGTGATGTTCTACCCTCTAAAGGCCTGACTGTCATGTTCTCCCCCCCGAAAGACCTGACTTTGTCATGCTGTCAGCAGCGCCAGGCTCCCCCGGCGTCGTTGTGTCCGTCTCCAGACGCCGTCTCCTGCTGCCGACAGGGCACGCTGAACCGGACCAAGGTGGCCACAGAGACGTCCCGGCGGGTGCGCAAGAACTGGGCGCCCTGCCACGTGGTGCTCACGGACCGCTACCTGCTGCTCTTCAAGGACGTCAAGGGCGCCGCCGGCATGGTGAGCGGCGGCGGCGTCACGGCGTCACGCTCCGACCGCGGGGAGGGGGGGGGGGGGGGACGCCGCTGGGAGCGGGGTGTGTGCAGTGGACGCATAGGTCGGGCAGTGCGAGATGGTATTGGCAGTGCTGCCTTGTTTGCGCGATGGATATGTGACGCAGTGGCGGTGTTGGATGCCCAGGTCCGTTTCGCGAAAATGTTTGTTGGACCGTGCCGTCGCCTCCCCGGTGTGACCGACTGTGGGCGGTGTACTTCCGGAAGGCAGCTTTCCAACGGCGTCACGCAGTCCGGGAGGCGCCAGGTCCATTCTGAAGCACTTTTCATCTGTCGCCGGTGTCTCCACACGCTGTCGTGTTAGGACGGCAGGGCGGTGGCAAAGGAAAGAGAAAAAGAGAGAGAGAGAGAGAGAGAGAGAGAGAGAGAGAGAGAGAGAGAGAGAGGAGAGAGAGAGAGAGAGAGAGAGAGGGAGGGAGAGGGAGAGGGAGAGGGAGAGGGAGAGGGAGAGGGAGAGGGAGAGGGGAGGGAGAGGGAGAGGAGAGGGAGAGGGAGAGGAGAGGGAGAGGGAGAGGAGAGGGAGAGGGAGAGGGAGAGGGAGAGGGAGAGGAGAGGGAGAGGGAGAGGGAGAGGGAGAGGGAGAGGGAGAGGGCGAGGGAGAGGGAGAGAGAGGGGAGAGGGAGAGGGAGAGGGAGAGGGAGAGGGGGAGAGGGAGAGGGGAGAGGGAGAGAGGGAGAGGGAGAGGGAGAGAGAGGGAGAGGGAGAGGGAGAGGGAGAGGGAGAGAGGGAGAGGGAGAGGGGAGAGGGGAAGGGAGAGGGAGAAGGAGAGAGAGAGGAGAGAAGAGAGAAAAAAAAGAGAGAGAGGAAGAGAGAGAGAGAGGAAGGAGAGGAGGAAGGAGACGGAGAGAGAGACCGGGGCGGGAGATGGCGGGGCGGGATAAGGAAGTGTGGACCTTCATCGGCGCTGATGGTGGTCCGGGGTCCTCATTGCCGTGCCGCCGCGAGGAAGTTGTGTCACTGCCCTTGACGCACGCTCTCCCTTTGACGTGGTCGGTGCGTCGGCAGTGGGGCTCGGCCCGGTCACAGTCCAGAGACGGTCGGTGGACCTGGCCGGCGCGCTCGTCTCCTGGCGACCCGACCGCCTCCTCGCGCAAGAACGTGTTCGAGGTGTGCACCGTGCACGGCCTCCAGGTGAGTGTCGCCCCGCCCCGCCCCGGCTGCAGCCGCGCGCTGCCGACGGCGGGGCACGGCTGCGGACACGGGCGTGTCCGGGCAGTGTCACCGTCACTGGAGTACACAGGGCTCGGCTGTGCTAAACGCCGCCTGTGGACGTGGTTGGAAGGAGCTCAGTCTGGAATAGAAATGGCGATGTGGCTCTTGCGCTCCCTTTGCATTCAGTCCCGGCACTCCCTTGGTATTGGTTGATTGTCGTCGATGTACTGCTCCTGGCTGCCATCCGGTCCACATCTTCCCCACCGTCCCGTCCGGCGGCGCCCGGTGCGGCGTCAGACCGCAGCGGCGCCATCACCTGTGCGAACGCCGTGCCCTGACGCCTCGCCCCGCTACCGTCAGCTGCTGCTGCAGGAGGAGAACTCGACCACGGCTGGCGTCTGGTATGGTGCCATCCGGGACGCCATCGCGCGCATGCCGCAGGGTCTGGACCACCTGCTGGCGCCGGAGCGGCCGGCGCCGCGTGAGGAGCTCCGGCTGACGCGCACCCGCTCCGCTCGCTGTGAGTGGCCCGGCCGGTGGCTGCGGCCGGAGTGGGCGGCGGACTGGACGGGCACGGCTAGGGGACCAGGTGGACGGTGCGTTGGTGTCGGGTTCGGCGGGGTGTGTCGGGCGTGTTAGGGCAGCGGGGAGATAGTCGTGCTGTGTGTTGTTGGGTCTGATGTATGGAACAACCCAGTCAGTTGTTCCACACATCCATGAAAACAACAAGGTCCGAGAAGTCTTGATTTTTGGGCACTTTGTTTAAAAAGATTCGCTGTGCTGTGGAAGTCATTCGGTATGTGGCCAGCGGAAGCGTTTTAGGTGGGTCGTGGTAATAGACATGAACTCCTGCATGCTGGAATACTAACGCAAACAAAACAACAAATTTACCATGGCCTTTGGCTGATGTGATTCAAATACAGTAGAAGACGTCTGCATATTTGCTGTCAGTTTTTTAGGGTAGCATCTTGGCCGGTAATGTGAAGCGATGGCGTCTGGGTCCGTAGTGCAACTTTTAGGCACAGAATGGCCGTCAGCTTCACCCACAGTGCGAGCCTCTTACCTTCTGCATGGAATCAGCATGTGTTGCTGTCGCATGCAGGTGGCGTTTCGTCTCCAAATATCTGTTACCAGTGCCGATCTGTGTTGCGCATTGCGCGTACGCCAGAACACCAGTCGAGTGAGCCATTTTGTGGCGATAGCCTCGTATGCATTGGTGGCGTCGTGAGGGCCGGGGCAGTCCGAAGCTACGCCACGTCCGACCATGTGGCCTCGGGAGTCGTCGCGTAGCCATTCGATTGCTGCCGTCATTGGCAGTGTGCGGACATAGCGGTGTCGCAGTCGTCACCTGGGAAGGTCACCGTCGCCATGACCAGATGGGGCCGTGCCACCGACAGCACCTCAAGCTCCTGTCAGTCTCACTCGGTCCGGCGGCAACTATGTGACAGCTTCCTGCGTTGTCTCTGATAGGTGGACGTGCACTGACTCGTCGCTGCCTGGCCGGTGCTCTCTCTGTCTCCGTTTCCGTGCTGTGCCGCCCGTGACCTGCCGCTTTCTGTGACGTGCCCTCTAACGCCAGCTGACAACATTTAACCGGGCTGTACATACGTCCCGCTCTGGTCGGGCGTCGGCGTGCTTGCTCGGCTAACCCGCCTGCCGCCGAGCGCGGCGCGCTGGCCGGCTTGCTCCACTAACCGGTGTGGCCGCCTTCCAGTCAACGGCGCCGTGAGCGGCAGCCAGGAGGACCTTTCTAGGGACAGTAGCACGATCCGCGATCGGCTGCGCCGGTTTTTCCGCGCGCGCCCGCCGGCCGACGCGCTGGTCAGCCGCGGCATACTGAAAGGTACGTCCGACGGGTGCTGCCGCTGCCGGAGGCGCTCCCAGCTCGTGCGTGTGTGCTCCGGGCTCGGCCCGCGTGCTCGCCTGCTCTGCATGCAGTGTGTGGTGGAGGGCGATCTGTCTGCTCCTGGTGTGCTGCGGTCGGCGGGTGCGGCGCGCGGTGGGGGTTTCAGCATGCGGTGGTGCGGTGGTGAGGGGTGAGGCGGCCGCCCGGATGGTGCGCTCCTCAGGCACGGCGGCGGCACCGGCCGGTCCATGTAGTCTCCTTCCGGCTCTGTTGAAACAGACCGGATATGTAGGCTGGCCACACTGGCCAGAATACGAGCGGCGCCTCCCGCAGGATGGTCGGGGCTCCGCGCCGCTAAAATGGTCGGTTGGTTGGCTGGTCTAAAATGGTTGGTCACTATGGTTGCTGTGTTTTTCTGCACCCAGCTCTTATGTTTGCGCGTGGCTTTTGCGCCTAAGTTATGTTTTTAAACCATTCTGCGCGAGAGAGTTGGGTCTAGAGCATGTATCGAATTAGTGCACGGTTTGTTGGGATTAGAAGTGGGAGACGGTGGTACATGGAACACGTGCATCACATGCTGGCCTGGCTGAAGATCCAGTTTTCACTGTCCTTGGCGACTGAAGGTTTTGCAGGGATGTTTGAGAGATGCGGCAGTCCTTACAAGGCGCAGGTAGCTGCCTTGACCCCATCGCCTCAACAAAATAGGTTCGGTCCAACGGACACCCTGTGCTGACGTGCTGCAGCATGTCACGCGTTGTTCTGAGCCGGCCGCCTTTCGCCCGGCTGGCCGTCAGCCTGGCTGTGACAGAGCTGGCCATCTGCGACGGGTGCGGGTGCGGCCGTCACGGGTGCGCGCCGTCCGGGATGTGGGGCCACATGGAGGACGGGTCAGCGGTCAGGTCCGGCGTCGCCCCATCGGTCCCGCCGCCGGCATGGCCACGCTCGGCGCCGTTCACGCTGGTGACACCGCGAAGGCCCGGCTGGTCGCCCAGGCGACGTGTAGAGACGGCTGATGCGGCGTGCTGGCCGGTGCGGCCCGTCCGACCGGCGATGGTCCCGCGCCCGCACTGTGCTGAGCGTCCCCGGGAAATGACGGGTCATTTCGCTGGACTGGGCAGCGGCCGGGGGTAGACACGCGGAGAGATGGAGGGCAGGGCAGTGACCTTAGGTGCAGCACAACCCGAAGCGGCTTGATTTCGGTAACTATGGCGATGCTGGTTAGGTATCGCTTTAGTGCGTCTGTTATTGATCACACGCAGTGATGAAAACCATTCTTTGGAACTGATTACGGATGATAAAATGGCATTGATGCCATCCTGTTACGGACACGTGCGAGGATATGACCACAAGGTAGCTTCAAACATTCAAACACAAACAAATTGTTCAAACATTTGCTAAGGTCACACATGTAAGGCGTCACACCAGGCGCATCGCGGCAGCGGTGGCTTCACCGACGTGTCTAGTCTCAGTTGTTTTGCATCGATTGTTATGGCATGCACAAGATTGCCATCGAGCATGTAATGCTGCACAATGTTATGTAATGTTATGGCATGCGCAAGATTGCCATCTAGCCTGTAATGCTGTCGATCAGCGTAACTTAACGGAATCGTTCTGGGAAATAACGAGCGAGGCTGTAGGTTGCTCGTGGTTCAGTTCTCATCCGGAGCGTGCCACTTTGGCCGGACCGGAATGTGCTGTACGAATTAATAGTCTTAAATCCACTACTCATCACAGCTCCACGCAGCTCTGCGCATCAAGGATCAAATTTTTAAAGCTGTACTGTAGCAGCTGTGAGGTATGTACCTCAAAATAATTTGATTCTGTATGATTTTCGTGCAATATTACGATGTTGTTCCTCTGCTATCCACATAGGCTCATGATTCTGCGCGATTTTCGTGCAATGTTACGATACAGTTCCTCTGCTATCCACATAGGCTCATGAAAATGTATTTGTCCCGGGAAATCAGCTCAGCTCAGGTGAAAACCGGACTTAGATCTCGAGTATTCGATGTTAGCACAAAGTAAGCGCGTCTGCTCGGAGCTGGTCACGCCCGATAGGCGGGCTCGTCAGCTTTGGGAGTTGGTAAAGTTGGCGTGAGACGGTGGCAGTCGCAGCAAATGGGTATACGGTGGGTAGATGGCGATTATATCGTCTTCCTGTTACCGAGCCAGTTCAGCGCTATCTGGCGCCACAAGCTCGACACAAATTGACAGTGAGCGGCCTGATTCTTCGATTTGTATGGCTGGTCTCCATTGCATCCTCGAAAGCTGCGCAGGCGTAGACAAAATTGATTTTTTCGATATAGACCCAGAACTGCTGCGCTTTTGTCAATCCTCAAGGATAATGCAAACTTCGGTCAACGTAAAGTTGTCCATTTCATCGACTCCAAAGCTAGGTCCGCAGCCAGCTAATTGCCGTGCATTGGCGTTTGTGAGCTGTGAGCATTGGTGTTTGTGAGCTCGTGCGTGAATGCTGCATCCGTCAACATATCTGCCTGTGAACCCACGAAAGGCGGACATGACCGATGATAAGACCCCTATTTGTTAAGCTACCAAGAGCCATAATCGCCCTTGTTTTGATATCATTACACGTGATGGCCCCCCCGTGAGCACCTCGCCCGTCAGACGCCCAACATACCGGCTCTCTGGCGTCCACATAACTGCGGTGTGTTGTGATGGCGGCTTACTTGTCATCTTCACAATCTCCGAATCCTTGCATCAAAAGTCCCGTTGTAGCTTAAGTCGGAACGAAATCTGAAATGGAGTGCTTCACATTTGTATGGGGTTTTGGGCTGAGACATACCTTGTGGAAATCAGTCAGGGCTGTGCACGGCCCTGACGTACTGATCAGTACGATTTCTGGCCCTAATGGAGATCATTTGCCTATACAGTAGTGTCACGCACGCAGTGCTGTAAGTTTGGACACGATTTTTGGTTTGGTTGTTTGGATTAGCGCCCTTTCGGCCACAGATGAACATTTCAGGGCTATTGGATAAAGAATAGATGATGTTGGGGCAGAACTACATGCGCTTGTGGGTCAATGGCCGAGCTTTAGCTCGCGCAGGAACCCCTCAGGGTGTGCGCCGGGCGCCCGGTCGGGGTCCCCCTTCTCACGGGGCTCTCGGCCCACTCGTGGCTGGCGCATATAGGCCGCCCCGGATAGGTGGAGCGTCGCGAGGATTAGGCTAAAACAAGAGAAGAGGATAAGAGGTCATGTGCTTTGCTACCTAATAAAGGGAGATGGACAGTGGTACCAGTTGTAACAGAAATAAGACTGATAATCGAATTACTTATGGGTAACACCGGAACCGAGCACCTGAAGACAGGTTAACAATATGAAATTGCTGATTAATGTGCAAGAACACCAAGAGAAAGGGTCAAAAACACGCGCACATTAGACTATTTTGGCTCTGCCAATGACGCACCGATGTCAAGACACTTCTCGAGAAGGTGAAGTACTGCAAGTGAGTCAGACATCCGCTATCATAGGAATTTCGCACGGCCAGTTCGGCTGGCCCTCTGATGTCTTAGGAACGTACCGTGACGCAATCAAACGATAACGTATTGATGAACGTATTCACTAAGTAGTGAAACTGTGTCGCCTTGAGCAGTGTTGTGTATTTAAAAGTATACCATTAGTTACAAGCGAGCTTATTTCACCATATCTGATGATCGCCTCGATGTCTTCAAATGTGTAAGATTTTCTATAATTGCATCGATCTTCGATGAAACGCCAATGAAAAGAAGGCTGCCGATATGTTGCATTGTCCCGCTGCCATCAAGCTCGACCGCATTAAGGGTCTGTTTGTCGTATTACGACTTGTGTCTCGTCTGGCCGGAGGTGCCGCCACACGGTACGTCACGTGGCCTCGTCTCTCCGTATGCGCCGTGGGCGTGTATGGCCGCCGACTGATGTGTGTGCGGGCCTGCTGCCGACTGCTGCTGTGCGCCGGGTCGCCGTGTCTGCGCCGTCGCCGCGTGACCGGGCCGGCCGCGCTCTCCGCAGACGAGTCGGTGTTCGGCGGCCACCTGGCGGCGCTCTGCGAGGCCGAGGGCAGCACGGTGCCGCGCTTCGTGCGCGAGTGCGTGTCGGCCATCGAGGCCAAGCCGGAGTACATGAAGATGGACGGCGTGTACCGGGCATCGGGCAACCTGAGCCAGGTGCAGCGTCTGCGCTGCGAGGTGAGGCTGCGGCGCCCCGGCCCACTAGACGCCGGCCATGCACTGCTGCACAGCGGCCCCGCCAGCATCCGATGCTGTGGAGAATGGCCGCCACTTTGCTGTCGTGGCACTACCACAGGGCCCGATTTGTGTACGGCCGTGCGGTGGCTTTGCGCTTGGGTAGTATGTGTGCTGAATCTTTGGTTGAATGACATTCGTTGGGACATATCGCGTTCTGTCTTGCCGGGCTCAACATTGCTTGTTCCCACATGGTGCCGTGGCCCTGTTTGCTGTTGGTCGTGTCTTTCCCAGCGTGGGCGTCCTGATCGGCGGTCGGTGTTGTACACAGCCACCGGCATCGCAGCGTGCTTGTCTGTGTCACTCCTAGGTTAATTGGCCTAAACGATTAGGTACCTCAGCTAAAAAAGCGCCAGTTTAGCATCACTCAAAACCTTGCTGCTCACGAATGCTGAAGCTTGCTGTGTGTCTTGTGTGGGTAGCCAGACTGTACGACTTCCTTCTCGGCTTAATGTCGTGCCTCGCCCGTACATTGTGCGGTGCGCGTGTCAGCATATAGCTTTCCGTCTTCCGAGTGGGATGACAGCTGCCGTCGCCTCCTCCCGTTCCCTCTCTGTCTGTGTGCCTCCGCTCTCTCCCCCGCCTTCCGCGCCTTACCGCCGAACCAGAGGGGATGACAGCTGCCGTCACCTCCTCCCTCTCCCCTCTTTATGTTCATCGGCTCTCCCCCGCGCCTGTCACACCTCACCACCGGGACCGGGCGGCAGGTGGACCAGGACAACTACCAGGTGCTCTGGGACGAGGAGGACGTGCACGTGCTGACGGGCGCTCTCAAGCTGTTCTTCCGCGAGCTGAAAGAACCGCTGGTGCCGTTCGAGCTGCTGCCGGAGGCGCTGCGGGCGGCCGGGCTGCCGGCGCGCGCCGAGCAGGTGTCGGCCTTCCGCTCGCTGGTGGTCGACCTGCCGGCCTGCAACCGGGACACGCTGCGGGCCGTGCTGGGCCACCTGAGCAGGTGAGGCCGGCCGACAGCGCGGCAGCAGGGGCGGGCCGGGGCTGTCTGGAGTACAGCCTGGTGTGTGGCGATGGCGCAGGGACCGCGGTGGGACCCATGCCGGTTGTGGGAGTGGGACGGATGGGACCTGCGAGAGCCTTGCGCCGGGTCGTCGGACAGGTGGCACGTGCGATGGTACTCGTGATGTATTTTCTTGTTCCGCCTTCTTTCTTGAAGTTTCGTGGAGGTCATGCTCCTCACACGTAACGATGCGGTGTCTGCGACGATTTAAAACACACAGCGATTGCTGTGATGGTTTCTGGCAGGCGGTCCGCCGCGAGGCGTCGGCCGCCTGCACTCGGATCGAAAGGAAAGCTGTTTTTATTGCAACTGTTCAGCAGGGAAACCGTCAGCAGGGAAATCAGCATCAGAAATCAGATCAGCAGGGAAACCGTCAGACATGCGTCATGTTACACGCCACTCAAGGACAAAATCGTGTGGCTATGCCCCCCCCCCCCCCTAAGTACTAGTCAGGGTGCGTGAGGTCAGCAAACGGTTAGAGGTTCCCAACTTGAGTGGGCAGGCAGCGATTTGGGAGGCCCGGTAATGTGTATCTTCGATGCGTCCGGCCCGTGGGGTCTGCACGGATTGGGGGGGGGGGGGGGGAGAGGAAAGGGGGCGGGACGGCAGTGTGCCGGGACAGCGCGCGGCGACGCCGGCATGCTGAGTCAGCCGGCGTTGCCTGGTGCCCCGTCGCCGCCAGCCGGAGCTTCGGCTCGACGGATGTGTTGGTGGGCGTGTAGACGTGGCGCGTCTTTCTCCGCAGGGTGACTGAGCTGCAGGACTTTAACCGCATGCACGCGCACAACCTGGCGATGGTGTTCGGGCCGACGCTGATGTGGCCCGAGCAAGACTCGCCAGACCTGGCGCTTGATCTGATGAAGCAGAACCGCGTGGTCGAGGCGCTGCTGGAGAACATGTCGGCCGTGTTTGGGGCCCCGTGATCCGCCGGCGCCGCCGCCGCCGCTGACCGGGCCCGGTGGAACGGGACCGCTGCGCTCGGCTCCGCTCAGCCGGCGCTGACGTCATGGGAGCTGGTGACAAGCGATGCGGCTGGAGCACCGGCGGCGGCGTGCTGCTCTGGACGCGTCCGTACCGCAGCAGTGAGGCTGCGGAAGAGAAGAGGGGAGGCGTCGGCTGGGGCGAGGCTGTCCCGCGACGCCGGACGCCCGAATGGCGTCACCCGCCGCAGACTGGTGTGGCGGGTGGCCCGGGGACCACGCATAAGACCCCTGGTCGTCCGTGTCGAGGTTTGCCCTCAGTGATCAAGTGGGTGTCTGTGATGCCGGGTGGTTCTGGCGGAATGATCTGCGCGAGAAGTATGTTTTGAGGTGGGACGACCGTCCCAGTCGCGGGTGGCGCGTCCGGCGCACACCGGCGTACCGAATCGCGAGTGTTTCCATGCGGAAACCCGCACAGAATCTTGTCTAGCTATTTAAGATAGTACATTGTTATGCTTCTTCTTGGTTACCACGTGCCTCGGCGCTGCTGCAGCCGATGAGACCGGGCCGTCTGCTGGGCCTGGGAACTTGTGTCAAAATGGCCGCCCGCCTGTCGGACGCCACGCCAACGGATGCCTTCCTCTTCCCTCGTCTTCCGATTTGTGGGGCGGCTCGTATGCCTGCCGCAGCGCCCCCAGTGATACTGGAGATTCCATTGTCTACATTTGTTAGCAGTCTGTATTATTGCTACTGTAAATGGATGTATATTGATGCTATATGGTGGTAATACAAAGCTCGGTATTTTGCCACTGCCTTTGGACGGAAAGCGCGGAAGCGAATGAGCGAGCGGTGTTTGGTGTGATCGTGGCACCAGTAGCGACGTTTTGATGACAAAGAATGATGCGTCAGTTTTGCTGGCAATGAGAGCAGCACGTTGAAATTTGACCTGAAAGGCTTCGCACCCGCTTAGTTGTATGCTAGCATCAGGATTCCACTCTTGCGCTATCCGTGATCAACCAGGGCATCGCCAGCCTCGTGGCCGCCGGATCACGCACAGACGTAAGCGACTCGCCCCAGCGCCTCGGAAGTTCTGTTACTGAGCGCCCCAGGGCCCGACCACGTATTATTGGCGTTGGCAGGTGGCTTTTCCAGCCGTGCATAGGGTTTCTCGATCATGCGGAAACTTATTGCTTCTGTTCCCGCGGAATCGATTTCGACTGACGCGCGGCACGCGGAGTTGGAGCTTCCCGCTCTGACCACGAACAGCAGCACATTTTAAGCCAACGACGATTTCATCGCAGGGATGATGACGTCGGAGCTGTTTCACTTCTGACCAATTTCAATACCCCTTCACCTGGTCACGCACTGGTTTCGCTGGGTGAACGCTCTTCTCCCTTTGGTTACGTTGTGTTTAGCGTTAAGCGTTGTGTTAAACCTACTCGTCAGTTCCATGCGTAACGGTGGCATATGCCTTGCCCGGAAGCTGTTTCTTAGACGGCATCAGCCCCGCGGTAGTATCTCAGATCCGTCTTCTGTTTCCGGACATGGCCGTCGACAAACTGCCGGACTATGCTAAATGCGTGGAAGCCATTTTATCGTCGGCATTGCGATCCGTCACCGTTCAACACGTGAGAGAACATATCGCAGATGAAGACTGTGAACTCGCTCAGCTGCGGGGGGAGGTTTCTGAATTGGCGCGCGTGGTTAACGCGCGCCAAAAATGAGAGAAGGGCGGCGGTCCCTCACAAGGAGTGGCGGTTGGACCCGCCGGGGTGCTGTGACGTCACAGCGTGGGGCAGCACGGGCCCGCTGTTGGGCCCGCGGTGCGCAAGGGCCTGGGGTGCAGCCGGGTGCCACGTGGACCGGTCGGCCGGCACGGGCCGGGCCCAGGAAAAGGAGGGAGCTAGCGTGCTGGACCTGTAGCTCACCGGGCCATATGCAGCAGGACTGTATTGGTGCTCCATTAGGGCGAGGCCGAGGCCGGCCGATGCCGACAGTCTGCTGGAGGTGCCACGAATTTGGCCGTACCCAGTATGGCTGCCCGATGGGTTTAAACTAAAACGGGTTACTGGCGAGGGACGGGTGGTAACCGAGGCTGAATCGGCACGCCCCAAAGGCCCCAGCTCGGCCATTCAGTCAGTTGACCAGCCGGCAGTTCGCTCGCTGCGAGAGAGGGGTCGCATTGATAAGCCAGACTGCACGTGGTTAGTGCACACCGGTGCTGTGGTGACCCGTGTTTCAGTAGCTTTGCCCGGGATACCCACTCTGCCACGGGCGCCCTCAGGACAGCATCCCATCGGAGCGAACGGCATAAAACTGCGATTTGTGCGCCAGATTTTGGGCGGGCATTCTTATTGGCCAGCATCGCTCAGTCACGTTCGTACACTAGTGATAGAAAAAATGCCCGCTCCAGCGATACTTGGCACCGATATGCTGGGAAAATTTAAGACTTTCAGCATCGATTTCGCAAGGTGGGCTGTTTGGTGTCTGTTGGATATTGGATATTGGATATTGGTGGCTGTTGTGTCCAGTTGGAGGCCAGGCGGGGTGGGACGCCAGCACAGCCGATAGCCGTGCGACTGGCATCTGACTACATTTTGGATTCCTTCTCGGAACGGGTGGTAGATGTCAAAGAAGTAGATTTCGATGAGAATGCACGTGACGTGGCATCTGGCCCTGAGATTTCCAAGGCGGAGCGGTATGAGGTCGCTTTCTCTCCTTTCCTTGTTTTGCACGTTCCGCCGTCGGCAACAGGATACTGATCCAAGTGAAGAATGCTGGCTTGAAGCCGGTGAAGCTTTATGCCAACTCGGTTCTGGGGGAAGTGTATGGCGGCCGGGTGGCAGCAGCGGCTGGCGGGAAGCGCCCACACGGAAAGCCCGGTTCGGGTGGCCCGGCGCGCACCGAAGCAGTTGAACTGGATCGATTAGTTCTTAGGAGACTGTTCGACAGATATCGGGACGTTTTCGCAAACAGCGACGATAAGCTGGAATGTACGCATCTGGCCCAGCTCACCATCAACACTGGACATTGCTCTCCAGAGGCAGTCCGAGCGCGACGGACTCTGTATCACTTGAGACCCGAGGTCAGGAGACAGATCGCTGAGATGGAGGCTCGTGGAATCATCCAGCCATCCAGCTCCCCCTGGTCTCCGGCAATCTTGATGGGTAAAAAATCGAATGGGTTTGTATTGCCTCGGCAGTAGATTTAGAGAACTCAATCGCAACGCAGTCGATGAAGTTGCGTACCTCCTGACGGTTAAAGAGTGTTTGGACCGTTCAGCGGGCTCGCATATTTTTATGACTTCGGACTTTAACTTTGCATACTGGCAAGTCCCGTAGTTCCAGTGGCCGGAGAACCCGCGTTTACCATGGAGGATAAACGATGGGAATTCTGGTTATGCTGCTCTCTACCAAGGGCGCTCTTGGTTTGCTCTAGGCCTGATGTCGGAAATGCTGCATGATTACGGGTGGGCAAACTGTGTTAGAACATTTATCCCTACTGCACTCTGGCCTACATCGTCTTCGGGCAAGCAAAATTGACGGTGAAAAGCTCGAAGCTTGTGCCCTGTCATCGCCAGATGAAGTTCTTGGGACACATTGTATCGGCCTTTGGCGTGGACCCCGACCCTGATAAGGTGGAGGCAATCAGAAACTGGCCTCGAATGGAATCAACGAGGCAGCTTCCTGCACTTGCTGGCATGTGTAACTACTACAGCGACTTCGTAGAGAATTTTTCTACCGGACTTGAAGCTTCTAACGCGCCCTTGCACGCAGTTTCTGACAAGGCCGTTTCTCGTGGAACGAACTTGGAGACCAGGAGTTCGAGGGATTTGAACATGCTCTATGCAAGGCCACGATTTTTGTACCTTGTACCGAACATACAGAAGGGCTTTCGAAGTTAGCACAGACGCATCAGGCATCGGTTTTGGGTGCATGTTTTTGCAAACGGGACGCTGATGGAGGCGACTGCCTGTTTGCTTTGAAAACGTTTTTAGACAGCGAGAAAAATTGACATATACCTGACAAGAAGGTTTTTGCGTTTATTTTTGCTCTTCGAAAGTTTCGTGCCTATCTGCTCGGCAAACCGTTCCAGTGGTTTACGGATCATTGCGGTCTCCAGTGGCTACGAGATACCAGGCATCCCAGGGGACGTTATGTCAGATGGATCGATTTTAAGAAATCTCAATTCACTACCCACTATCGACGAGGTGCTCACGCCCGTCCCGCCGATGCGCTATCCCGGGCCATGTTCATGCGACTCCAACGGTGACGCGTCCCACCCCCGCCGACGTCACGGCTCACACTGCGGCGGAGCTCAGCGTCGGGGGGTTAAAGGGCGCGCAGCAGGCGGACAAGCCGCTGCGAGAATTGTATCACGAGCTCCAGTTCAACAGGACGGAAGGGAACACTTGCAAGCAGTGGCACCGGCAAGGTCTGGAACTGCTGGATGGTGCCTGCTGGTTCTAGAGCGGCTGACCGCTCGGGTACCCCCCCCCCCCTTCGAGCACGACAGATCCGGTCATTTCGGTGCGAACAGGACCCGTGTTTTGTTGCTGCGAGCGGGGTACATGTGGGCAGGGTCGGATCTAAATGTAAAGAACCATTGCCGCAGCTGCTTGGTTTGTGCCCGCTCCAGCGAGCCTCGGCGGCGTTTGAAAGCCCCGCTCGAGATAACTAGTCGGCCAACACAGCTCCGTGACAGCATGTTGCCGTGGATCTGACGGACCGTTTGGCCGAACACCAACAACAAGGGGGAATCACGTGAGTTGTTGAGTGCATTTGCGGGGAACGTTTGCCGTATATATATATATGCATATAATATATATATATATATATATAGATATATATATATAAGCAGTGTTGTTAGCCTGCTCCTCATAAATCAACCAGAAAAGGAGAGATGATGTATCATGTGTCGGCAACGTGCCTTAATCAAAACAAATATGAGCAGTAAATATAAGGTTCGAATTGTTTTGGAGCTTTGGATTATAGAAAAAAAATTGAATTGCATATTTTAAATTTGAACTGAATCGTGAATTATTGATGTGTCTTGAGCGATTCACTCAGTTTAGGCTCAGGGGATAACGTTTTATCGTGCACTATGTCCCGTTGTCGCTTCTGCGCACAACCTGTATTACGAGTGGTTTATTCAATCAGTTCACGTTCAAGCAAAACATCATAAGCGCGGGTCGGTCGATGATGATCTCTTCAATCTCCATCGTCGTTTCCCGCGCCGAGGTCGAAGCCGCGCAGACAACCGCCGCACAACCAATAAATAATAGACGTATCTCAGATTACCTACAACGCGTGCGGCATCGGACAACTAGCGTTAGTATCACAGGAGCGGGCTGCGAGTCCGGTCTGATCGGCCCCGGTGGCCTGAGGTCACCGCAGGTCAGCCCGGTCGGCCCGCCCGCCGGCGGGGCACAGTCAGTCACTGTCCGGACGGCCGCCGCCGGCTCCGGGGACGCCGCCCGTCCCCGGCGGCGCGACACTAGCGCCGCGTCGCGGCCGTCTCACACGCTGGTGTCAGCGGTGGCGCGCGACAGTTCACTAAGTCCGTTGTACTCGGAGTCCGTGTCGAGCTCGACCAGGTCCTGCGCCGACTCGGAGCGCACGAAGTTGGGGTTGTAGCGGCTGAGCGACAGCGTGCACGGCAGCAGCTCGGGCATCACCGAGTGGTGCGTAATCAGGGCCGTCAGCGAGGTGAACTCCTTCATGAAGCCCTGCAAACCCAGATGCCGTTAGACACCGGCCAGTCACGCATCTGGTGACGCCCCGCTTTGCAGAATGTGTAGGCGCCTTGAACAGCTTACCGTGGCACGAAATATATCGATGATCCCTAGGACTACGCAGGCGAAATCAATGACAGGAATACGTGAACCCGAATTGCAATACGATGGCGATCGAACTTGATGATGTCCGTACCCGCACGAGTGACCAGCGAAGCACAGCACAGCACAGCACGGTACTGACATAGCACAGCACGGCACTGGCACAGCACAGCTCAACAACAGCTCGCTCGTACCTTGATCTTGTATCCTTTGGCGGTTTTAAGGATCAGGTAGTGGGCGATGCCCGACACCTGGAAGTCGCGGGGCACCCTCAGCGAGAGCGCGTAGCAGCCGTGCTTGGTAGTCGACTCGCGCACCATGAAGGCACCCCCGGCTCCTGGGAGAGCCTCGAGCGCGATCTCCCTGCGGACAAACGAGGAGATTGTCAGCAAACCGACACCAAAACGCTCCACATTGCCCGCCTCCGCCTGCATGTCTTATGGCGCGTGGCGGGAGAGCAGTAGTGACAACTCGTCGTCAGGTGCGTGGTGGGTGGCCCAGCAGCAATAATCTCGCCCCACAGCCGGCGGCTACTCCACTCATAAGACCGTTTCCGAGCAGAGTATGGATCCTGTATTTCCGTGTAACGATGCCACAATGCATCACGAGCGGCGATGCCATAATCCTACCACCGAGCTGCAGCGGCGTTAAAATTCCAAACACCCTGTCTTGCTGAAGTACAACACGGACCCTGGTCACCGAAGCCACAGAAATGCCACAACCCCCGAGTCCACCACAGATGCCTGCGTGAAGCCCATCAACCGATAACTGAAATCCTGTTGTGTGCCTTTCCTCTGAAGCTCGCCAGAAATGCCCGAGCTGATTGAAAAAGTATTTCGTTCGGTTATGCTGCCCGGTATGTCGGCCCGGTAATGCGGACGCAGTATGCCGTCGGCATGCGACTGACCTCGGTATGCCTGCCTGGAACCAGGCGGCGCTGCGCTCTCCACCCGCTCCTGGCTGGGCCCTGCTGGTAGTAGCGGCGCAGCTGGCGTCGAGGCCCCGCTCGTGCCCTCGCGTGGTGTACGTGGAGGCAGAGCTGGAGCGCTCGACCAGTGGCAACTCTTCGCGTCCTCTCGCAGGCTGAGGACAGGCCGACTGGTTAGAGCGGCGCGGTCGCTGCTTTTCTCTTTGCGGCTTGTAACCGACCACGTGCACCTCAATGATCCACACAGAAGCGGCGCAATAAAACCGGTTCCGCACACCAAAGAATGCCCCTTCAAAACTGTTACCTGTACCTTCGAGCCCTGGTGGCACCTAATGCCAGCGATCCTGTTGAAAAGTGCATGCATAACCACAAATAATCGCTCACTTAACACGAAGGCGACAGATCCGGCAAAACTGGAATGTCAAATGTCTCGGCGAGCAAAACAGCACGCCTACCCAAGAGATAAGGTGACACTGCGCCATCCACGCGGTCCCCCGCGATCCGTTGGCGCGCGGCGCCGCTCACCTCTGGCTGCTGGCCGACACGGAGCGGCCGGCGGCCGAGAGCGGCCGCAATCGCCTCGCTCGAGCGCGACTCCGAGTCGGTGGTGGACACACGGCCTCGTTGACGTAGCCCGCCAGCAGGGGGCAACAGTAGCTCGGCCCAGCCGGGTCGCTCCCGCCGGGCGCCGCCGGCGCCGCCGCCGCCGGACTCGCCAGGTTGACGTTTTTGCCCCGCGACAGCTCGCGTCGGCTAGGCTCGCGATGCTTGGAGCGCGGCCCTGCGGAGGAGGCGGGCCAGGTCAGTGAATGAACGACTCTGGGAGGAGCGTCTAGTCAAGCTGCTCTAATATCGTGGGCAAACATGCAGCATCAGGTCTTGAAATGGTTATATTCCCCCAATCCAGGTGTTATCCAACCATTCTGATCAACTTTTTGTGCCATGGGTATAGTGCGGATAGAAGTAATGCCAAACATCGGCTTCCTCAGTCGTTCCGGAGTGCCATCATCAAAATAATAGTGTGCTGTAAACCATAGCTCGAACCAGACTTTGAAACGCTCTCACTTCACAACCCGTCTCACTTTCCTGTTTCCACGACAACAATTACGTGTTTCTTAACTTGAACAGAGGCGGTTTCTGACAGAAGCTTTTCAGACACTTCTTGTGTTTGGGTGGTGCTATTTCATGACTGATAAGCTGTGGGGCCCGCGGATATACATTCAGTGCTGACAGGCGCTCTTCAAAAGGCGTACCGTCTGTGCTTAAGGAAAATTCCAAGGGCTTCCGTTGCACAAGGAGACAACACGATCTGGTGTGAGGGTAAACGCATGACCACCGTATGTGAGTGGCTCGGCTCGGGCAGCGGTAAGGGCGGCCTAGCAATGCTTAACATTCTTCCGAGGCTGGGTGATCGGAGGCCGGAACTGAGCAGCCGGCGCCATGCCTGGTGTCTAACACCACAGAGGCTGCCGGCTCGCTCATCGCGGCAGCCTCTGTTAGGGTTGGTGGGCCTGCTCACACCTGACCTGACCGACACGTCCAACAAGTGGCGCGGCTAAACAAACTGACCGTTGACTCCACCTCGGGCGAGAGATGGCACGCCATAAACGGGCACGTGCCGGTCAAAATGCTCCTCATTTTTATGCCAGTCTTGTGTGCTGTATGACCAGGCTTGACCATAAAATCCCAAGCTCAGCCTCGACGCATTCTGTACACTTCCACGAGCTTGGCGATAGCCTGTCCGTTGAAATGCGTGGTCCCGTTGCTGTCACCCTCCTCGGTCCGCGGGCGACCGGGCCAGCGACGGCAGCGCCTGTCCAGCCGCGGATATCACGTCCGACAGCCGGTCCGCGGGTGCGCCGCGCGGCCCGCCTGGCGTCCGTGGCGCCGGCGAGATCTTCCGCCTGGCTGAGCGCCGACGGCCGGGCCGACCGCGCGCCGTCCGTCTGGGAATGCTCGGCTCCAATGTCGCAACGCCGTGTCGCAAACGCGGCAGCCAGACCGCCTGAGGCCCTATGTGGTCTGGCCAGCAGCTCTGATCACGGAACGAAGAGCCAGGCTCGAGCCGAGCTGGGGGCTCGCGGCTCAGGTCGGCTGGAGTGAACGGCGGCCGTGAATGCACTGGTGTGCTGGAGGCTCGCGGCTCGGGTCGGCTGGAGTGAACTGCGACCGCGGGATGCACCATGTGCTGGAGGCTCGCGGTTCGGGTCTACTGGAGCGAACAGGACGGCAGGTGCCGCGATGCGCCGGTGTGAAAGCGCCGGCGCTGCGCATTTGGTGGTGTAGTGGCTCCTGTCGTTTTCGGCGGAGACATGGCGCACATATTAGTCGAGGCATGCCATGCTGCGATGATGGGCCGGACATGTCTGACGAGTGCTTTAGAGCGGGCCAGCCTTGGAATACGAGTCGCTGCCAGCCCGTTCTGTAGTAGCGACGGCGCGCGAATCACGCGCTGCACCAACACGTTTCTTTGAACCGGCGAAGGAGCCCTCGGCGGGGCTTAAGCCCTGCGGTTTTGTCTCGGCCTTGTTCGAGATCCTTGCACATCTCGGTTTCCAGACGCCGCATGAAGCCCTACGAGATCCACTCTGAAGGCCCCCGCCACCTGCACGGCTTGGCATGTTCAGTTGCATGCACGCAGTGCTGCAGAAGACCGTCTGCATTCCTTGCAGGCTAGACAAAACTGGGATGCATGCTTGCACACATAGTTGTTTCGCTGTCCGATTTCGCACTGCAACATCTTGTGGCTAAGAAGATGAAGAAGAGTCCCGAGGCATTTGCCTGGATCCGATTGGTTCTTACTGGTTGGCCGTTTTCCAAAAACGGCTCGTCTTAACGGCTCGTCTTAACATCCGGGCAAGGTCGTGTAGAATGGCTCGTAGCGCACACAAAGCTTCAGCATTCCATCTTCTCATTCCACGAACCCTCGACTCCTCTACATGTCCACGACGAGTCGCGGTGGCCAAGTCCTCTACGGGTACTACGACTCCGCGCCAGGTGCCCCTCTTCTGCCCGCCCCACCGCCGGTAGGCACTCACCCAGGTGCGGTTGTTGGTCTTGTCGTGGTTGTTCGGCTCTCCATCTCCCAGGCGGAGTCGTCGCCGGCGCTGCCCGGCCCTGCCAGGCAGGATCGCTGCAGGCGCGCCGCATACGCCATTCGGAACGCGTTGCCCACGATCGTGTTCAGCTCCTCTGCCTGCGGAGAGACGAGCGAGGTCAGTGATGCGGCTGGCTGTCGCGTGCAGGGATGGCACGGGTTGGTGTGGCGCTCAGGGCGGCAGCGGTCAGTGATGCGGCTGGCTGTCCCGTGCGGGGATGCCACGGGTTGGTGCGGCGCTCAGGGTGGCAGCGGTCGGTGATGCGGCTGGCTGTCCCGTGCAGGGATGGCACAGGGCAGTGTGGCGCCAGGGTGCAGCGTTCAGTGATGCGGCTGGCTGTCCCGAGCAGGGATAGCACGGGGTGGTGAGGCACTCAGGGTGGCCGCGGCCGCAGTGCAATCATCGAGACGCAGTGTAACTCCGCTGGCTGAAGTGCCCTAGAACCCTGATCGCACCATGCTCGGTGGAGAGGGGTCCTGCGGCGTGAGAAAGGTCACCTTTGTGACCACAAGTGGCCACCAGAGAGGTCACTTCTCGTCCACCAGACCCGACACGTCCCGGATCTGGTAGACAGTGTGTGGGCTCGGAACGGCGTTCAGTCACGTCCGTTTCGTGACGAGAAGTCCGACCTGACCTCCCGGACGGGCAGGCTTTGGAAGTAGAACGCTTGCATCATGCGTTTCTACTTCACATGAGATTAAACGCCACGCAATGTCTTCGTCGTTTTACTTCGCGCATTTATATACGGCTGCGATGGACATGACCCTAATCGCACAGATAGGTGGTCGTCACACACCCGGCGCTGTAGCACGGTCGCTGTGCTCACGGCTCGGTGCGGCAGTTTTCCCAAAAGAGGGATGTTCCGAACGTACAACCGGAAATGGGTTTTGTAGCCGATGAGAGCATATTATCTGTGTTTAGTCCTTCGTGTTTCGAACGCCAAGTAAGATCCTCGTTCGGATATACAAACTTTGACATTCGGCCCAACGATGTATCCATGTGCCCTACGCTTTCACGGACGCTGCGTGACCAGCTTATATATAAGAACAGAAGCTCCAAGTAAGAAATATCACCACGTACTGCGCTTTAGTGTCATTAAAAGTTGCGTGGAAAACGACAGAATTATGGGAAAGCCGCGAGCTTTTCCAATTCCTGGTATGCTGTCAAACAACGCAAAATCTTTGCGGACTGATCAAAACTGGACAAAAATCATGCTATCACTACATATCAAACGGTAATCCGACAACGGCTAAATATTTGGCGAAGCCCACTGGAGCCCTATCTTTCCTCCAGGCGGTCCTGCCGGGTGAGTCACCCTTCCATGTCAGCTGTGCGGCGGAAACCGCAACTCCGTCCGAAACAGTGCGCCGAGTGCAACCACGCAGCAGGCTACAACACATCGCGGGCAGCGTAGCAGCTTTGTGAGTCACTCGCCAGGATGTACGGGGCGTGTGTTGTGGCTGGTGCTGCAGCGAGCACGCCGGCGTCCGGTCAAGTGCGATCACTTTGATACTTTCCCATTGAGAAATCTTCATTCCAGTGGCCTCGCCAAACAATCTTTTTTGGACGATTCTCCCGCGGTGATGACCACTGTTGCACTGCAGGATCACCTTAAGTAAACTCCGCGGTTGCAATGCAGGGTCATCTAAAGTAAGCTCGCTGCTCTAATGGGATTATCTAAACGAGTCACTTCTGCACATTCTATGACTCAGAGACAACCGGAAAAAGCCATTCCCGCCGCCTTTAATGATTAATGACGTCTGTGACGTCATCCATGAACCTGCCGTCCTTCCGGAGTCGCCCTCCGGACCGTCCACGGCTCCGCCGAGCCAGCCGCCGGTCTGTCCGCACCGCGCGGGCGAGGGCCGCGGGTGTGAGCTGTCCCCCGAACCGTCCGCGGCTCTGCCGGCCCAGCCGCCGGGCGACGGCCGCGGGTTGTGAGCTGGCCGTCCGAACCATCCGCGGCTCCGCCGGCCCAGCCGCCGGTCTCGTGTCGGTACCGTGCCGGGCGAGGTCCGCGGGTGTGACCGGCTGACCGCCGGCCCGGCCGGAGACCGCTGCCAGCTACGCTGCGTGGCAGCTGACGACGCCGGCCGCCGAGAACAATCCGGACCGTACCATCCACCGGCGCCCGACGCCGTCAGCAGTCGGCGGCCGGAACGGGGCTAATGGACCAGGTCTGGCCGCCACTCGTCGGCCGGCGACCCGGTCAGGTCGGCCGGCGCGCACACTAGCGGACGGACGGACATCCAAAGGCACGGATGGATGGGCAGGTATCCGGACAAACCGACGAGCGCACACCCGGAGCGGGTGACTGGGCTGACCGGCACGTTTGACTGACTAATGGGAGCACCAACGGCGACGGAAGAATAGCCGGGTGCGCCGGTTAGAGACGGCTGACAGTTCGGCCGTCCCCGGCCGGGACTTCAAACGGGCGGCGCGCGCCGGCGACACGCCGACGACCGGCCGCCAGCGTCGCTCTCGCCCGACCGAGCGCTCTGGCGGGCGGGCGTCTGGAGCTCGCGCGCCGGCCGGACGCATTCCGACATGTCGGGCTGGCGTGTCGGGTGTCGGCGGCCCGACATGGCCGAGCCGGGTCAGCGTCGACAGGTGGGGTCCGCTCACAATGGGGCGGCGGCGACGGGGCGAGATGGGGACGCAGGGTGTCCCGGCGCTGGGCGGCGCGCCGTCCTGTCGCATTGTGCCGTCGCAAGCGGCCGGCTGTGACAGAGGGCGACGTCCTCCGACGGCCAGCGGCCCAGAGGTGAGCCACGCGCAGACGGCCAGTCACACACGGCGCGGGTGGACGTCAGGTGCCACCTGTCGAGCTCCGACGAGCAGACTATCCGCCTTGCCCCACGCCTGGCGTGGCAGCGGTCACACCAAGTTTCGATGAAATTGGCCCAGTTTTAACAGGTGGCCCTTGAAAGATGATCGCTCCGGCGGCTGCGCGTCATGCCTGCTCTCCTCGGGGAGGTTCACCATTGCCGTCCTCTCCACTGGCTGTGGGCGGGTCGGTGACGGTGCATGTGCCGAGTGCGGAGCCGCCCGCACCGAATTTCTGCCACCCGGTTGTTTCCGGAGCGCCAGTCATCGCTCAGCTGGTGACCGAGGGAGAGGGGGGGGGGGGGGGAGGGGGGAGGGGGGGGGGGCAGAAGGTGACACGGCGACCTTGGCCGGCTGCGCCGCATTCGCCGCTGCGCAGGGCGCTCCGCCGCTGCAGTGTCTCGGCAATGCAGATGAGCCGTTTCGACACGCGGTCGTTTCATCTGGGCGCGGCGACCAGCGCCGAGTGCCGGAACGGGGGCGTGTGACGGGCGGGGACGCGCCGGGAATGTCGACTGTCGGGACGAGTTTGCGGTGACAGCCCCGGGATGGCGGCCAGGCGATGGCGTGGTTAATTACAAGGCAAACAGGTCGTGTGACCTGACCCGTCCAGTTTCACGACATATGTCTCGCATTTTTGTCGAACGTGACAACACAACGGCCTCTGAAGGAAATCGATAATAGCCCTTTGGAGCAGCTAGGAAATAACGGGCTCCATCCAGTGGACACGTAGCGACAGGGCCGGCTGAGATTCCCCGTCACCCTTAAATTCTGCCCCGATAACGCGTCGTCCCCGCGGACAACAGGTGTCGGGCGCCGACGCCGGCGAGATGACTCGATAATTGGGCCGAGGCGGGCACGAATCGGACGTGGCCGGGACATTCCTCGGCCCGGGCCCCTGAGCGGGCCCGGCGCCGGAGCCGGACCGGCTGCGCGGTCGGCCGCTGACGAGCCGACGACCGTCATGTCCGCGCCGGACGACGGTCGGCGGACATGACGGAACCGCCCGGGACGTGACGGCGGCCGAAGGTCGCGCCGCGCCGCTATGCCGGTCACGTCGATCGTTTTTACCCGCCCGTCAGGTGGCCGTTGGGACGAGCGGTGTCGCCGTTCTCGCGACCCCGGCCGGCCGAGAGAGAGGAGAGGTCGCTCCAGTCCGCGCGCGGCTGACGCCCGCGGCGCCTTTCACGGCGGCCCGCGGTCGCGCCGCTAAGCCCATCCATTCCGCAACATTAGCGAGGCCGCCGTGAATGACACTTGATTTGTATATAATGACGCTCCGGCGGCGGCGCCCTGAGAAACGCAAACAGGTCGGTCGGCCGCCGCGCTGCGCCGCCGCGAGCTGCGCCGTCGCGCGCCTGGGAACGACGACAAAAACGGCGCACCGCCCGGCTCCAGTCAACGGCCGTGTACGGCGCGCCGCGCCGGATGTCGCCGCGTTTTTGCCGGCCGCGCACACAGCGCCGCCGCTGTTGTCCGGGCCGTCACAACACGGCGTTCCGGCGCGGCGTTGCCCGGCGTGGCGCGACGAGGCGCGGGGCGTCGTGGCGCGGCGCAGCGCGGCGAGATGCGGCGCGGCGGCCGCGGCCGCGGGCCGACCCGTCAATGCGGCCGGTTACGAGCTAATTACACGGCGGTGGTGCGATCAGCGGGCCGGTCGCGGGGTCGGGGCCTGTCGCGGCGCGCCGGCGCCGTGGGACCGGCGGCCGGCGCCGCGTCATCCCGCAGCGATGCAGCCGCCCGCGGCCGCCGCGCCGCTGATGGCACCTAACGCGCCGTAATTGGCGACCGCGGAATCGATCCGTGGCCGCGCCGACCCCGGGCCCGGTGGCGCGGCGCCGGCGGCGCTCGCTGGATGCCGGCCGCATTGGGCCCGTCGTAAAGACGGCCCTAGCGGCTGCACAACCGTCTGGGCAGGCCGAGCGACAGCTGGGGCTTGAAGGCGGCATCGCCTCTGGCCCTGTCTGACGTGTGAGAACGCGGGAGATGAGGCAGGCTTCGTTTGTCCTGAGCGTTTTATCTCTGGCTTATTAATCGAGGTATTTGCGCGGAATTCATTAGCGGCGCAGCCATCAAGACGTTTGACATGTCGCATACAGCATGCATGATATATTTAGCATCACGATAGCATGCACGGTGCACAAACAAACTCATGGTGTCTTGAACCCACTGGAGCGAAAAGCTCATGAGACGTTGATGGCGTGAATATTAAGGAGGACCTCGCCACAGCTAGGAGCGCTGAGAGACCTCGCCTGCGCATGGTACCTTCTCA